TCTTGATAAAAGTAGACTTATCATACATTCTAGTCAGCATATGTCTTTGATACACCACAAACAGTTGGTAGCTAATAATCTAATTTTAGATTCTGTGTTTAATCTGAAGTAGTGTTAGATTTTAAAAAGAGTGAGGAGTTGTTGGCAGGCTTTCAAATAAAGCAAGAAACTTAAAGTGTAGATTAAAAATTTATTATTGTGCTTCTGATGTATGTTGGGGGGAGGGGTACATACATGCTGAGGATAATTTTGTGGAATTGACTTTCTCCTTTTTATTTGCCATGGATTCTGTGGATTAAACTAAGACCATGGCAGGGGCTTTAGTTGCTGAGCCATCTTGCTACCCAGTAGGTTTTTTAACGTGTAAGGTGCTGTGGCTTCATCTTCAGGATTCTTATGGATCTGTTTTGTTGATCCTTACAAAGCAGGAGAGGTGGTGGACCATGCTTAGAACTGTGTAATATTCCTTGACTGATTGATCACACCAGAGCAGAGAGACAGAATGACTCCAGGACCAAGAACTTGTGATGTGTAGGGGTCTAAGGGTGACCAGAAAACAAAATGGTATGTTTCATTCCAGTGGAAAAAACACATTATACCACCTACTGGCATCCTTCTTAGGCTGACAAAAACTCATTAACAAATGTGATTAGTTGAGGGAACTCAATATTACCGAACAAAAGCCATGGTGTCTATTTGACAGATGTATGTCAAGTGAAAGTGGTAACAGTTCTTGTGAAGTGTTCCAGAGTGTTGTGATTGGCATGTGTTTAGCCAAGCATGGACTTTTTAGAACTTTTTAAAATGACAGGACATGTTAGCAACTTAAAAAAAAAAAAGTAATACAGTCCAATTAAAGTAATTTTACCATCTGATTGACTGATTTTGCTAGGCTTGGTTTTCAGAGGAATTGAGAGACAAAGAAAAGCAAAACAGTGGCTGCAGATGTTCAACCAGTTAAAGAGTTTAGAAAGATCTGAGTGTATTCTCCATGGAAGACATTTCAATTGAAGTATTTTTATAAAGAAAAACTTTAAAATTACCGCGCCGAGGCTGAGGATGTAACCCAGTTGGCAGAGTGTTCTCAACTCACATGCATGCATGCATGCATGCGGGCCTGGCTTCCGTCTGCAGCACTTCATAAATGGCATGGTGGTACAAGCCTGCAGTCCCAGCTCTCTGGAGGTGGAGGCAAGGGTTTGGATCACATAGGGAGTTCAAGGCCAACCTGGGCTACTTGCAACCCCACTCAAAAACTTCCCCAAACTTCAATTTCAACTCAGGATGCCACAATTGCTTATTTGTTTATCAGTGAATTTTTCAATACAGAAGTTCCGGTAAGTAAAAACAAAGGCAGGATATTGAGAGAGAGAAAGATTTTAATTATTAGACAGTGGGTTACAAAGTCTAGTAGTCAAAGTCTTTCTATACTTCAGTAAGAAAATTACAGAATACAAAATGGCATGGCCACTGTATCCATGGCCTCAGGAGTTACTGTTACCCAGATGCCTTGGGGTTTATCGTTACACTCTTAACCACAGCCCAGAGTGCCTGGTTCCTCGCCGCTTTCTCACTTCTAGAAGCACTACTCTGCTAGTCCTGAGATCTGACTTCGCCAGGCTGCATATGGGGCTAGGTGAAGCTATTTCCCAGGCAGAAGGAGATGCTAAAGTCCTGTGAACTAATATCACAGTCCAAAGGAAGACAGAGAAAGCTACAGGGAAATCCTGTCCCCTTCCTTCCCTCCCGTGTCCTTACTTCTGTCTGTCCAGCCAACAACCTCCTGTGTGCTGGAGATCTGGCTGGCCTTCTCTGAGACTCAGGCCAGCTCAGTGGGGATGTGCCAGCATCTTTCTTGGTTTCTCTCTGTTGGTCCTTTGCTTATGTTGCTGGAACTTCACGCCCAGATCTAGGGTTCAACTAAAGACTACCTCAGAGTCAGTTTTTTGTTTTTGTTTTTTTGTCTTAGTTTTTTTTTTGGGGGGGGGGGGCGGTATGGCACCAATCTAAAGCAACATCTAAACAAAAATTTATACAAAACATGAGTGTGCCAAAAAAAAAAAAGAAAGAAAGAAAAAGAAAGAATCGGTATATGTAAACATTAGTGCACATTAAATTACATTGAGATGCCATTTTCTTGCACATTAGTTTGGCAAAAGTGAAAAGATGAACAGGTCTGTTGCTGCAATTGAGTAAATCACTGTCATGTGAAGGTAGAGACTGAGTGCCTTTATGCCTCATGAAGAGTGATATGGCAGTGTTCAGTCTTTGAGTCGGCAATCTCCTCTATACATCAGGTCATATGGGTCTACATGCTGTTTTATAATAGTGCAAATTAGCAGACTAAGTGACCATTTAAAAAGGGCGGGACTTGAAAAATAAATGGTACACCCATTTTATAGAATACCTTGCTCCTTCATTAGAAAGAGTAAGTTAAACGAAGTGAATCCTGGAAAGATAGCTCCGATATATTTTAAGGGAAATAGCCATTATCCTAGTTTTATACGACCTAACTAAACAAACCCCAAGTGTGTGTTTCCCTCTGTGTATGTTTCCAAAAGTGTTTACATTTTTAAACAAGATATACAAGGATACACTGAATAGTCTGTCTCTTTGCTTAAAAAGTAGGATTGAATGTGCAGACAGTTACTAACTTTCCCCTGTGTTTCCCTTGTGTGTTTGATGCACTATAATATGCATTAAAATTAATTAGGTAATAGGTAGACAGTAGGATGGAGAAAATAAGAGGGTAGTTTTTTTCTAAAATAATTTAAAATATGTGTAATCTGATTTTGATAGGTCACTTCTAAGGAAATAAATTTAAACTTTAGCCAGAATTTCACATTAGATTTTTTGTGAGTAATAATATATTATATATATATAAAATTCTGACCAGTCAGTATCTATCATTTCTTCATTAGGCATACACTGTCATGTAACATACCTTCTGAACATTATAGCATCCTGTGAATTCATTAAAAAAAAAAGAATAAAATTGGTGAATAAAGGATGACTGCCGGATTTGTTGATATTAAAAAGCATCACCAATTAGTTTTCACATTCCATTTTATCATAGATCATATCATTACACTGTATAATAACAGTATGATAGATATCTCAAAAGGACCTTTAAATATTTATCTTTGGTATACTTACACTAGCATGTGGTTTCCATTGTTATATATACGCACATCAATAAAAAGTGACAAGATCTCCCCCAAATTTTTCTTGTCTATGTGTTTTTATTATCAATGGGAAGAAAGTATTTTTAAAAATTAGTTTACTAGTACAAAGTGAGCTGGTAATTTTCTATTTTTACGCATGCCTTTAATCCTAAGTGAAAACCTGCATCAAATTGTTTTATTGTATGCCTTGCCTTTTTCCAAGAGGAATTCGGGTCTTTTTTACTAGGTCAGTGAACCATTTCAGTATGTTCAACATGAACTAAACAAATTGGCCCCGTTATCAGTTGTGTTTACAGCAGACATGTTTTCTCTGTCTGTGTGGGAGGCTCTGGGGAGATAGTCTTGTGTGAGGCTCCCACGGTCAGTCAGCCAGACATGTCTGTCAGTTCTTCAGAGGGGAGCTGTATGCTTCTTTTCAACTTTATCTGTCACGTTTTGAGTTAAACTCTTCAGAAATGAGTAGATATGGTGCTGCTCCTTGAAGGACTCACGATATGAATTTAAACTGGCAAGCTGAGTAATGTTTTTCCCAAGAAAAACATTCTAAAGAAAATCCCTTTGTAGGTAAGCTTCTTATGGGGTCTGTGACCAAAACACAGAACCAAAGAAACGAGTGTATTCTGTCATGCTGCCCTATTTTACCTTTGTGACATCTGTCACAAGAATAACACACTCTTTTCACTTAAACAATTACATAAGCTATGTGAACTCAATAAGCACCTACTAGCAAGAAAGGAGTGTCCATGTCTGTCCTCCCACCCACTCTATAAGTCACCAGAGAAAAATTCTGGATGCTTCCAGCTGTTGTGAAAAGCCTTATTGTTCTGTTGTAAGCCCAGATGAAAGCATTGCTTTATCTCATGTTACTCCTTCACCTCTGCTCCGCAATTCACCTTCAAAGATATGTGGGGATTTGCATTTGAGAAAGTGGAAGAGCTCAACCCTTGGCCAGGCCTTGTAAATACCTGGTTGGTGTCTACACGGGCATCACCAACTGCATGGGTGCTTAGGTGAGACCCTTTTGTGTGCCCCCACAAGGTGTGCTATGTAGAAACTAATGTCTTCTGTGCCTTTGTTGTCTAGATTTGTCAACACAACTAACAGACATGTTGACAATTCACTCTGCCAGGGAACTGTGCCATGGCCCTAGAAATACAGGGACTGAGCACGAAGAGCAACAGGGAGCTTGTTGTAAGGAAAATGAATTGCTAATGTTAACAGCAGACTCCAAATACCTAACAGTATTTGCTCACTGCTAAAGTCTTTCAGTGTTTGCTGTGGCACCAGTGAGATTTTGAATCCAGTTAGGATTGACATTGACCAGAACCCTGACTTGGAAAATAATCTCATATGATTCTCCTCATATAAGAAAAGCCAGCTTGAGAGCTGTGAGGTAAAATTTCTGCTCTTGTGATGGATCAGAGTTTGGATTGCTGTTGGAGATGATCACACATGCAGAGTTGATTGACAAGCCGCTAATGTTGCATGTAATTTTGTTATGCAGTCTGTTTACCAAAGCATAATTGTTCATTAAAAACTTTACTTTTGCTTGAGGACTGGAAGATGACTCCACTGTTAGGAGCACTGGCTGTCCTTCCAGAGGACTGGGTTCAATTTCCAGCACCCACTCGACATCAAACAACTGTCTGTAACTAGTTCCAGAGGACCTGACACCCGCTTCTGGCCTCTGTGGGCACTGCATGCACATGGTGCACAGACATGCATGCAAGCTAAACACCCATACACATAAAATAAAAATAAATAAAATCTCAAGAAAAAATTCCCTTTGCTTAATGCTTTTCTTTTGTCTTGTAGGAATTTATTTTGTCTGAAGATTATAACAAGATGACACCTGTGAAAAACTATCAAGGTAGGAGTCAAAGGACTATTGTTAACTGCCTCCAGAACTATGTTTTGGTAGTTTTCATTCTCACTAAGAACACTTAAATTACGTGGGGGAACAAAAAGAGGAACCCTGTGAGGTCAGTATTATCCCAGTTGTGAATTAAGTTGCTGAGCCTGGGAGAACCTGGGTTACTTGTAAGGTCAAGTGCAACACAGACTAAGTCAGGGTGACTGCCAAGCCCACAGCTTTGTCTTTCTACACCATGCTTCCTGGAATGGTGCAGCAGGCTCAGGAAAAGTGGAGTCAGCCTCAGGTTGCTTCAGCTGAGCCTTGTTCCATGTTTGGTGAAATGCTTTGACATGCGTGTGAGGGTGGGGGGGGGGGTCAATTTCTATTGCATCTTCAACATTGACTTATTGGCCAAATTCATTCTGTCAATCAGAAGTAGTGTCTGGAAGGGGCCTGTATTCAGACCAATAGTATGTAATCAGGCATTAGATCTTTAAGACGCAGATGTCATTTTATCCAGATTTCTTGATCTCACTCATTCTTTGTGGTTACCCAGCATCCCGTCCATGACCTCCAAAGACACTATGCTACTAAGTGTTTGGATTATAGGCATGTGATTCCAAGTACTGGAATTAAAAGTGTGTGCCACCATCTGCCTGAAAACTAAGGCTAAGTGTTGCAGCCAACCTAGGCTACATAGCAAAGCCTTTCTAAAAACCAAAACAGAACAGACAAACGAAAAGTCAAAGTGGGAGCTGGAGTGATGGCTAAGTAGTTAAGAGCACCTGGTGTGCTTGGAGAAGACCTCGGTTTGGTTCCCGCACCTGTGTGGTGACGCACAGCTGTCTGGGACTCCAGTTCCTGGGAATACAAAGCCCTCTCTGGCCTCCATAGGCCTTGACCCACACAGTGCTCCTACATGCAGACAAAACACCGAAACACATAAAATAAAATAATATTTTTAAAAAGTATAGAAACTAGGAGCTAACAAAACAAAAGCACTATAAATAAAAATCATATTTTTAAAAAGTCAAACTTTTAAAAACATGAAAAATATTACTGAAATTCTAAAACACAATGGGTAAGTAGATTAGACCATAAATTATTAAGCTAGTGATAGATTTGATATCAATGGAACAGTATATTTAAAGTGCTGAAGGAATGTTTAAACATAGAATTCTATACTCTGAGAGGGCATCTTTCAAAAATTAAAATTAAATTAAAACTTTTTCAGTCATAAAGAACACAAAAAAACTCATTTCTTATAGACCTCCATTAGAGGAAACATCAAAGGAAAATCTTCAGGAAGAAAGTTATGCCAATGGGAAATGTGCATCTACTCAAAGAGTGAAGAAGAACAAAATAGTAACTGCAATACAGTCTCTTTAAAGGATCCTTGGGTATTTAACTCAAAATAACAACAACATAGAAGTGGTATCAGATATAGAATTAAAATGTGTAATGAGCCGGGCGGTGGTGGCGCACGCCTTTAATCCCAGCACTCGGGAGGCAGAGCCAGGCGGATCTCTGTGAGTTCGAGGCCAGCCTGGGCTACCAAGTGAGTTCCAGGAAAGGCGCAAAGCTACACAGAGAAACCCTGTCTCGAAAAACCAAAAAAAAAAAAAAAAAAAAAAAAAATGTGTAATGATGATATTTATAAAAGTAGGAGGTAGGGAAAAATAGAAATATGCTGTTGTGAAGTTGTTATGCTCAACATGAAAACTGGTAAATTAGAGGTACATACTGTTCACCATAAGCAACTGGTACTGTGACAAATACAGCTACTAACCAATGAAATAAAATAGAAATGGGAAATGATTTTCAGGAGTAAAAATGAAGGCCAAAGCAAGAGAAAAACAGAAAAAGAAAATGGAAAAAAGAGAATACATAGGAAGGGGTTGAAACTGAAAATATCAATAACACATTAAATATTAATAAAGTAAAACTGATAGTTAGAAGCTGGCAACTTTTAATTAAGTCCATTGAGTGAGGATTTGAGATTCAAATGTAACCTGTACACAAGACGCTGTCATTCATGTGAGAAGCAAGTTGATGGCAGAAGGGTAGAGTCATACCATGAGAACACTAACCAAAATGAAGCTCAGCTAACTTTATTAATATGGAAGCAGATTTCAGAGCAAAAATAAAGGGCCAGTCCAGCAGAAGGCCATAATGAGCCTTTTTGTACGATACTGGCATAGCTTTGAAATAAGGTTAACAATGAAATGTTAGGGACAAATGGCTGCATACACAGTTGTAGTCAGAAATTAACATTCTCTTCCTGCTAACTGATAGAACAGGCATGCAGAAAGTTGTCAAGAGCAATTCAAGTCTTTCCCAATGGTCACCTGTAGAAATTCCATTCAGTGGAAATGGGATTATGCCCAATTTTCAAGTGCACACAGAACTGAAATGATTCTGCTATGATTAAAACCATAAAGCAAGTCTCGATAAGTTTTGGACTTAGAAATATGTTCTAAGAATGGAATTAAAGTACAATTTGATGATGAATAGACCCTTGGGAAATCCTAAAATATTTGGAAGGTAAGTAATACACTTCTGAATAGTCTATGGGTTAAAGAAGGAATCATAAAGCATTCTGAAGAGAATAAAAGTAAAAACAAGGATACCAGTATTTATAGGATACATCTGCAGCAGCATCTAAGGGAGGTTGACAGCTCAACATTGATGTCATGAAAGAAGCGAGGTCTCAAATCAGTGACCTTGGTTTATGCCATTGGGGGGGGGGAATAAAAAGGGAAAGGAATAAAGAAACTTAAGCTACCCAGAGGGAAGGGAAGACAGTTTATTACAGCAGTTCATGAAGTATAAACCGGATAGTGCAGAGAAGTCAGTGCCATCAAAGGCTGTTTTCTGAGTGATAAACTTCTAGCTAGACTAGCAAGGGGGGAAACATTGGAAATTATCAATATCAGAAAAGAGTGGCCTGATGCTCTTCCAGAAGCTCCATGTGTGAATACTGTATTGTTATGTGTTGGTGTATAGAACAGATGAAGTCAACAGATCTTTGAAAGTCACAAGCTGCAGATCACTCAAGAGAAATAGATGGTCCTAATAGCTCTATATGTGTCCAAAGAAGCCAACTTTTTAGTTTAAAACCTTCCCTTAAAGAAAGCTTGTGTTAGTCAGGATTCTCTACAGTAGTGGTTGTCAACTTTTCTAAAGCTGAGACCCTTTCATACAGTTCCTCATGTGGTGACCCCTAAACATAAAATTATTTTTGTTGGCACTTCATGACTGTAATTTTGGTACTGTTATGAGCTGTAATGTAAATATCTGTGTTTTCTGGTGGTCTTAGGTGACCCCTGTGAAAGGGTCATTTGCCCTCCAAAGGGGTCATGACCCACAGGTTGAGAACAGCTGCTCTAGAAGACCAGCACTTAGAGAATGAATCTCTCTCTGATATAGACAGCTCAAACATTGGCATCATAAAAGAATCAGGGTCTCAAATCAGTGACCTTGGTTTATGCCATTGGAAAGAAAAGGGAATGGAGAGAGAGAAAGAGAGGGGGTGGGATTTATTAGAATGACTTACAGGCTGTGGTCCAGCTTGTCCAACAATGGCTCTACCAGTGGAAGGTCCAAGAATGCAGTAGTTGTTCAGTCCATGACGTTTGATGTCTCAGCTGGTCTTCAGTATGTGACAGAATCCTGGAGAAGTAGGCTGTAGTGGCTGTAAGGAATGGACTGGCCAGCAAGAAAGAGCAAGCAGGCCAAGAGCAAAAGCTCCCTTCTTCATTCCCTTTAGACTCCTAGACCAGATGGTTCTGCTGGTTCTATTTTATGAAACATTAAGGAAGAAAATATGTGAAACTACAGGAACTCTTTTGGAAATTGAGGAATGAAAGACTTCCCAACCCATTGTAGGAAATCAGTATTTCCTGATACTAAAGCGCTACAAATCAATATGAGAAAACTAGGATGCCTTTCTCCATACAGACATGCTACACACCTAAATTTCACCACATCCAGCAATATGTACAAACGAATACATTATGGTCAGGTGAGGTTTATCTCAGGAATGTAGTGTTGGATTCACATTAAAAACTAAATGGTGGCCAGTCGGTGGTGGCACACGCCTTTAATCCCAGCACATGGGAGGCAAAAGCAGTGGGACCTCTTCAGTTTGAGGCCTGCCTGATCTACATAGAAAGTTCCAGGACAGTCACAGCTAGATAGAGAGACCTTGTCTCAACAAACAAATAAAACAAAACCACAAAAACTCAGTGCTGTCTTCCCCAAATAAGAGAAGTAAAACTCAGGCAAATAGTTGTGTGCTCATGGTCATGGCAGTGTAATCACAGAAAGCCCGGGATGAAAACCACTAGGTGTGCATCATGAATGGAATGGAATGATAGAGTGAAATAAATATATATACATATATCTGAAGGCATATCACAGAAACTTCAGAAAGACGTAACTTCAGCACACTCCAGGATACTGAATGCCTATCACAAAAGAACATGTTATGTCCACATACATGTGGTATTCACTACATCAAATCTGTAGAGACAGAAAATGGAATGGTAGTTACCCTGAGCTGGCGAGGAAGGGACTTATGTGAAAAGATGTACAAGTTCTAGAGAGGTGATGACTATCATATATTAATTTGAATGTTCTTAATTCTACAGAATGTATATTTGAAAGTGGTTAAAATGGTAAATTATATGTCACATTTTCTATAAAAAATTTAGAGAAGTTTTATGTATAAATTGCTTGATGAAATACCTGAAGCATAGTTCAATATGTCAATAATTATTAATTCCTTTGGAAAAATTACTCCATTCTTGATGACACATACCTAGGGCAGGAGAACTGTGAGTTCAAGGCCAGTCTGGGTTATATAAGGAAAACCTATCTAAAAGAATAAAACAAAAATCAAATAAACCAGTTTTGAAAGCAATATGGATAAACTAGAGTTGCTGATGGGAATATGACATGACATAGCCTCTTTGAAAAATATTCCATCAGTTTTTCAAAGAGTTAAAATAGTTATCTTGTGACATAGCATTTTTACTCATCCCTGTATAGCTAGAATTGAAAAAAATATATTCACACAGAATATATAAACAGATATTCTTAGAAACATTATTTATAATAGCCAAGAAAGGGAAATAATCCTGATCTCTTATTAGTGGATGAATGGAAGTGTGTGTGTGTGTGTGTGTGTGTGTGTGTGTGTGTGTGTGTGTGTGTGTGTGTGTGTGTTTGTATAAGAGAATGGAGTGGTGATAATACATGTTATAACATGTGAATTTAAAAACATGCTAAGTGGAAGAAGCCAGACACAGAAGGCCACATCATATGAATAACATTTATGTGAAATGTCAAGAATAGGAGATTCAATAGAGACAGAAAGTATATTGACCAAAGTTAGGGGGAGGGAGAATTGAATTGTTTTGGGGTGAAAGAAATACTCTGGAAGTAGATGGTGGCAATGATCATGTAACATGAATATGTTATCAGCTATTGAATTCTTGATCTCTAAAAAGGTCAGAAGTGTAGTGAGTTTTATCTCAATAAATTCATTTTTAAAAATCAACCAATGATACCTGACATCAATACCAAAGGTATTAATTCCTTTGGACATTACAAAAAAAGACAAGTTTAGAGAATATGTAATCTCTCCTAAAACTTAGTAGTCCAAATGCACCAATCCATAAATGAGTTACACAGTGTGACCAAACGAGAGTTATTACAGCTCTGCAGAGCTGTTCAACCAAAAATCAACATAGCCATCACATCAACAAGCCAAAGAAGAAAACCTCTCTCATAAGTCAGTGCAGAAAAGGGGTAGGGATGTAGTTCAGTAGTACATGAAGTAGTTCCTGGCATGCACAGGGCTCTTCTCTACCCCCAACACCACCACCAGGGTAGGAAAAGGCAACACAGGTAAAGCATGATCACAACTCAGAAACCAGGGAGGAGAAAAGCACTGCAGGATGAGGAATGCCTGCAGCTCCTGTGGCTGAGGGCATCATGGTGAGAAAGCACGTTCCCCTGATAAAACGAGCGTCCCTCTCCCCCTGGTTCCTAGTCACGAAGCCAGACATCAAGTCCAGGCTTTCCTGTGAGTTTCTAAAGTGTAATGATAAGTGTCCGCCTTCAAAGAGTTTTTTTTCTGTTTAGTAAAAGAGTTCCTTCTCCTTGGACTGTGTGTTTTGAGTTTTGAGATTTTGTTTTGTTTTGTTTTCCCATTGACAGCCAGACACTCAGGGAACTGACTGCCATAGAAACCAAGGTTTGCTGGTGTGTGTGTGTGTGTGTGTGTGTGTGTGTGTGTGTGTGTGTGTGTGTGTGTGTGTGTGTGAGAGAGAGAGAGAGAGAGAGAGAGAGAGAGAGAGAGAGAGAGAGAGAGGGAGGGAGAGGTTCAGACATCCCCCTCTCAGTCTCTGCAGTGACTAAGAGAATGTGTTGAGGGTGTTAAACACCCTGAAATCGGCAGATGGTTTTCCTCGGGGAGGCTGCAGACAGCCACCCACACTGTCTAACGCTGCTCAGTAATCAAGGTGGAAAATCTGCACCTCACCATACTCGAGAGTATACTCCTGGCCCACCAGACCACTGCCAGGAGGAGCACAATGTGTCTGTTCATCCTGTTACCCTGTGTTCATTGCCTGGCATCACATAATAAGAAAGCAAAACTCTTCCTGCCTGAGTTTATTAAGTAACTGAGAAGCCGTGGGCCCTTCGCCAAACCACTCAGCAGCTTCACTGCACCTCAGTTTGCCCAGGTGAGCGACAGAGAGATAGCTAGAAGGTATGAGCAGTCTCTCCTTCCTCTGAAGTTGTGTGATGCAAAATTCTTCTAGTAGGGTTGCCCTTGTATGTGAGTGACCATAGGAACTCTCCCCTTTCTCACATATGTACTTACTTCTGCATAGCAGGTGTTTCAGTCTTAGCTTAGTTACTTTTTTCTATTGCAGTGATAAAACACTATGACCAAGTCAACTTATAAAAGAAAGCATTTATTTGGACTTGTAGTTCCAGAGGGAAAGTCCGTGATGGCAGAGTAGAGACATGGAGGCAGGAACAGCTTGAGAGATCATGTCTTGATCCACAGGCAGGAAGCAGAGAGATTCCACACTGGGAATGGCATGAGTCTATGGAAACATCAAAGCCCATCCCCAGTGACACAGCTCCTCCGACAAGGCCACACCTCTGAATCCTTCCCAAACAGTTCCACCAACTGAAGACCAAGTATTCAAATATATGAGACTATTGAGTGTGGGGGTGGTGGTGGTGGTGGAGATTCTCCTTCAAACATCCACCATTCCTGTTTTGTAATTATTCTGCAAGCTTTTGGGTTCTGAAAGGAAACTGTCAGAAATTTTGTTATGAGTTTAAAAATCAGATTTCAACAACAACAACAAAGAACAATATATCTTTCCTTTGAGTATAAAGTGACCACAGTGACTGTGTTGCAAATATTATTCCTACTGTGCCTTGTGGTCACACTGATCCAGTAGCCCAAGTAAGCTTGGCTAGGCCTTGGGGTAGGGAGCTCTCCAAGGCAGTAATTCTTGGATGGACACAAGCAAGGGTGTAAAGAGAGAGATGATTTAAAAACAAACAGAACAAAAACAACAACAACAACAAAAAAAAAAGAGTGTCCAAGAAGAGCTGTTGTTCTGTCCCAGCCCTGATGGCTTTGTCCTTCACCCTCTTCTGGGATGGGGAGAAGGATGTAATGGTGGGCTACATTTTTCCATTTCCCTCAGGATGCTTCCTTTATTGGTCATTTTCTCATCTCTTGATATTTTTTTTTTCAGCACATCAGAGCAGAGTGACGATGGTCCTGTTTGTCCTGGAACTGGAGTGGGTGCTGAGCACAGGGCAAGACAAGCAGTTCGCCTGGCACTGCTCTGAGAGTGGGCAGCGCCTGGGATGTTACCGCACCAGTGCTGTGGCCTCGGGCCTGCAGTATCCTTTGCTGGACAAATCCCTTTCTCTTTGATGCATGAACATTTGGTATATAGGTTTTGTTTTCTAGTTTTGATTTATGTTTTTTCCTGTGTGAAAAAGATGCTCAGAGACCCTAAGGTACAAGTTATTGGGGGTTCCTGTGTAAATGGAGCGGAGTGAGGCGACACCATTCAAGCGGCAGGCTTGCTGACTGCTGTGACACAGTTCCGACACCGAGACAGGACACGGTGTGATCCTCAACTGTTAGGACTGCAGTCCATGGGCATACAATCATCAACAAAACACATTTGGTTTGATAGACCAGTCATTTCCCTTACAGGAAATCCCTCCAAACATTATAAATACCACATTGGTGCTTAGAGAGTGGGCCATGAGTTTCCTGTTCATATAGAAAGATTTGGGGGGCCAGTGGGATGGCTTCGCAGGTAAACGTGTTTGCTGCACAGTTTGGAACCTGAGTTCAGTCCCAAGAATTCATGCTGGAAGTTGTCTTCTCATGTCCACATGCACACTGTGCTACTCACTAGTAACAGTAAATTAAATTTTAAATATTTCTTGGCAGGCTGCCATGCCAAGGACCAGTGAGCTAGCTGTCTCTAGGTGGTATCCTGCAAACTTTGTTCCAGGCATGAAACTTTCTCAGAATCCATAGTGTGATCTTGTCTCCCAAGTTGTCAGCCTATTTACTTGTGGTGAGGACCAAAGAATACCAAAGAAGCCTCACTTCTTGCTGCCCAGGTTCTGACAAGCCTAGCATCGATTGGTGTGTGACCTGTTTCTCCTACAGCAAGGAGGAAAGTTCTCCTGTATAAAAAAGTGGAGTACTCCAGTTTCTGACAAGTGAGGCAGAACATGGAAACCAACACCATCCACAGAAGCAGGAACAGTAGGGCCTGCTTTTATCTCTGTATTTATAAAGTATCCAGTCAGTTGTTAATAATATGATAGTACGCCACAATTTCTTTGCACCTGCGTGGCAGTGGGTATGTTTATGAGTATGCAGAGGCTAATGCTGCTGTTAATGTCTCACTAGAAGAGCAAGATGAAGGGATCAAAGTGACCGCAGTGAGGGTTATAAAGGTGGAGAGGGACCAGGACCAGAACAAAGTCAACAAGAAAGGGGAGCTTCTTCTTTCCAGGGCAGCACCACATGTATGTCCAGGAAACGTCCTCAGGCTTCAGATGATCCAGCTGAAGCCTAGAGGGTGCCACGCTGCCAGTGAGTAAGAACGGGACTGCTCTTCCTGAGGTATTCTGCCATGGACTTCTGCTTTTTATCCCCTTTACTGTTGGGTACCAGAACTAATGGCATCCTGTGACTTGTACTGGTGCTGGCATCAGTACCACTGACCAGTGTAATGGTGCATCTTCCATTTATCTTGTGTCTTGCTTAGCCAAACCACGCAGTGTGAGCAAAGACACACATATGCCCTCAAGAAGATAACTTTTCAAACTATCTGAAAATGAAAAACAAAAATTACAATTAAACCTGCCTTGACCATATTAACCTTTCTTTAAGATTATAACCACTAGTTCCAAAAGTCACTTTCATTTTGTGACTCTTTTCCAAGCAGAGAATCACGTTACTTGTTATCCGAAACCCATGTGTACATTTGAGTGAGAGTGTTGATATATTGTGCACCCCAATAAACTTACCTGGAGGTCAGAGAACAGAACAGCCATAATATTAAACACAGAGGTTAGGCAGTGGTAGCATACGCCTTTAATCCTAGCATTCCAGAGGCAGAGATATGTGTGGATCTCTGTGAGTTCAAAGCCATACTGGAAACAACCAGGCATAGTGACACATACCTTTAATCCCAGGAAGTGATAGCAGAAAGGTATATAAGGTGTGAAGACCAGGAACTAAGCCTGGTTAAGCTTTTAGGCTTCGAGCAGCAGTTTAGCTGAGAAATCCATTGGATGAGGACTCAGGGGCTTCCAGTTTGAGGAAATGAGATCAGCTGAGGAATTGGCGAGATCAGCTGTGGCTAGTTCTGTTTCTCTGATCTTTCAGCGTTCACCCCAATACCTGGCTCTGGGTTTGTTTTTATTAATAAGACCTTCTAACAATTCGTGCTACAAATGTGTGTGTGTCTGTGTTTGGACAGCCCCTTCCAGTAGATGCGCGCTCCACCAAATTCATCTTTTCAGCTCTTGTTTTCAAGCTGTTATGCCAACCCTTACCCCTGAGTATCTTTAGTGCTAAACACGGGTGGCTTGACAGTCCTGGCTTTGCCAAGGGAGGTGGTCTACCAAGAAGCCTGTGGTTCTTGTAAAGCCAGAGCCTCCACCCCCAGCCACTCCCTGGAACCGCCTGGTGAATAGGCAGATTGTTAGGCAAATGACTGCACTCTTAGGGTCCTTCCTGCACATGTTTCTTTGCCTTCCTCCTGTCACTGTCCACTGTTAAGAGAGTCGTGTGTGTGTGTGTGTGTGTGTGTGTGTGTGTGTGTGTGTGTGTGTAACAGGGATGGAAGAAGATCTCAGGAAGCAACATCAACGCGGAGAGGGAAGTCATTCCCTCCACAGATGGCTGACACAATACTGTCCTGTCTCCACCTGTCATTTATCCGAGTTAACAAGTGACAGACATCTCAGACCACATTCAAATGTCCTCTTCCTCCAGGCCTCTCAGTAGAGAAGAGTGGTGTCAATAACTGAAACTCAAGCCAAGAAACCAAGGAGACAAAGAGACTAACCAGTTTACTTGTTGAGCTATCAGTTCCCAAGCAGTATCAAAGTGTTCGATTATTTTGCTGTATACATGAAATGTCAGATATTAAGTGACCGATCATAGTAACAGTGGCATGCAGAAGGAGAGGAAAAGGAAGAAGGTGTGAGCTCAGCCTTCCTCAGAACTCGGAGTGCTCCTGCACTCGCTGTGCCATGCACCAGTAAAACTATATGCTCAGTTCCTATGGAGCAGCAAAGACTTAGAGGCCCAGAAAGGCCTAGGGATTGATTTATTTGTTCAGGGTCCTGGCACAGCAGGATGCTAGAACTTGGGGGCTAAGATTTCTCAGCTGTCCTCTGCACATCTGCCCAGTCTAGGGTGAACTCTTTCCCAAAGGTCCCAAGGCAGGGCAGAGGAAGTGGGAGTATTTTCCTTGGGCTGTACTTGCTAGTCTTTAGTTCAGGAGATACCTTACCCACCTTCCCCTCTCAGTATCTTACCATTTGACCATATTTTAACCATTTTTTTATGCTTCCACAAAATAATTCAAGACTCTTTATGTTTTAGCTTTTTCTTCAAGAGCATTGAAGGTATTTCTAAAATGTCACCCTGTGTAGTGAGATGTCGCCCTACAAGTGTCATTGCGTAGGTATATTCCCAGTCAAGTCAAGAGCTCTGAAAAGCTGATAAGATTATCTTAGTCTTTTAATGGAACACTTAATGTCAATATTGAGCATTCCAGCATCCGGTTGTACTACGATTTTATTTAAACTCCTTTCTAAGTCCCTGTTGGGACCATGGTTTGGTTTGGGTTTTTGTTTTTGATATTGTTGTTTGTTTTTTACTTTTGAGACAAGATCTCTCTCTGTAGCCCTGGCTGTCCTGGATCTTGCTTTCTGGCTGACCTCAAACTCAGATATCCACCTGCCTCTGCCTCCCAAGTGCTGGGATTAAAGGTGTGCACCACCACTGCCCCTAGAAAAAAATATTTTAATGACACTTATCCATAACTCGCATCCACTGTTGATACTTCTGTCCCTTTTTGCCACAGTATTCTGAAGCAAATTCTAGACCTTAATGTCATTTTATCTCAACATATTTCATTATGAACTTCTAAAACTAAATATTTATTCATAATCATGAAGATACAGTTACCTCTGGAAATTAATACTGCTTCATACTTCTAAATCCTCTATTCTCAGCTTATAATGCTTGTTTTGCAAGTCACTTTTTGTAATAGAATTGTTTGAAATTGGATGTAGACACACTGCACCTTGTCCAGACATTGTCGCATGTTTTGGTTCCTCCTCTGGAGCAGTTCCTACTGTCTCTGGAAGTTTCTGAACTTGCTCTCTAGACAGTCATCCTTCGACACTGACCCCCCCACTTCTACTGACATCACGGATTTTGTTCATCTCCCTGCTCCCTCGATTCTGTGTACGTTTGTACTTTCTCATGGAGATGGTTCTGAGTCCTTCACCCTGCCACCCGCCCGCCCGTCAGGAGCCCGGGGAACTGGGTCATCATCCTCCATTCACACAGTTCCTGACTCTGGGGACTGTCCAGTGACTTTAGTGAATGGGATTCCTGATTCTTCTGTCGCAGGCACAGTCTGTGACTTGGGTCAGTTAGCTCCTAACCCCTGGCAGCATTTCTGTTACCAGTTCTGTCCAGTGGCCAAGCTTTAGCTGAGTCACTTGCTTCATGGAGGTGCAGAGTGGCCATTTTCTAATCCTCTCGTGTTTTCCCCGCGTGTGCTGGTTGGAAGTATTTGAAAACGGAAGACTTCCTTACCGTCCAGTGCCACCTCTCTACTCTTGTATGACATGTCATAGGAAACAGGTGTCTTCATCCTTGTCATTTTAATTTTCGTTTTGTGCTCTGGTGCTTGTTTAAGACAGGTCTTCATACATAGCCCAGGCTGTTCGGGAACTCACTGTATAGTAGAGCCTGGCCCAAATCTCCATCCTCCTGCCTCAGCCTCCTGAGTATTTGGGGGCTACAGGCCTATACCACCACACCTGACCAACTCCTTTTCCTTAACTGCTAATGTAGGTAGAGAGTTCGTATCCTGCAGAGCAGATTTTTCCTTTTTTTTTTTTTTTTTTTTTTTTTTTGTACTGTTAGGAACTCTTAGGGTTTTTTGTTGTTGTTTAGGGTTTTTTTTTTTTTTTGGTTTTTCGAGACAGGGTTTCTCTGTGTAGCTTTGCGCCTTTTCCTGGAACTCACTTGGTAGCCCAGGCTGGCCTCGAACTCACAGAGATCTGCCTGGCTCTGCCTCCCGAGTGCTGGGATTAAAGGCGTGCGCCACCACCGCCCGGCTGTTGTTTAGGTTTTTTAAAGTAATATATTTAGCATATTTTAATAAATGTCATTTTAAATATTAAAACTGTCCCATCTTTGGCTAGTAGGAGTCATATACTGGAGTGTGTGTGTGTGTGTGTGTGTGTGTGTGTGTGTGTGTGTGTGTGTGTATCTGTGTCTGTGTGTATTGCTGATGACTAAACCCAGGGTTTCACAAATGATAGACAAGCAGTGCCATTGAGTTACATTCCTGACTCTCTCCATGTCACTTCATAGTTTTTATTTTTCTAGGATATTTTATTGCAGTTTTAGATTCATAGAAAAAAATTAAATATTGAGATTTCTGGTACTCCCCATTTGTTACAATTAATACACTTATGTTGGCATGTGCAACTTGTATCAACTTGGTGGACTTTAAAAGCACCATGGAAACAAATATGTAATCATATGTTATATGACACTATTCCTGGGGAGATATGAGCAATTGTCTACTCGATCCAGGTAGGGAGCAGACGATAGACCAAAGTGAGGATATCTCCAGAGTTCAGCTTGGTGAACCAGTGAGTTTTATTGGGCCAGGGATTATTTACAGGACCAGAAATTACTCAAAGACAGCTGCGTACCAAAAATCCATTCCAGCCAGATGACATCTCCTGAAAGTTGGAAACCTGGAGCACACTGTGCAACCTGCGGGCAGCTCAGCAGGTCGGAGGCTGTCTCAGGCAGCTCAGGACGAGCCTCTTTCTTCCGGGTGGCTCACTGGTCACTGCTTCTTGTAGGTGGCTTAGCTAGTTCCTGTTTCTTCTGGGCAGTTCAGAGGTCTGGACGTCTTTTAGGACACAATTGTGTCCATCGTGTTATCATGCAGCTGGTCTGGAAGTGTTGCTCAGAAGTCCTCTCAGCTTCTGTATGCTTGGGGAGGGAGGGACTGAGTGAATCTGGTCTTCCAGATTCTTCCAGGATCTTCACTTCCCAAGATTTTAAACATTTAAACATCCCAGAAGGATGGAATGTTTCACCTTTACAGCATCTCTGTCATAAGGAATTTCTCTGTAATGTGGAAGGTCTTCTCAGATTTCAGAATGGTTACACAGCAGCATACCTATGAAGGATTCTAGAGTAGGCTAATTGCTATGAAAAGACACACCCTAAATTCGAGTGGTACCAGTTCATGGACTGCACCCCCCCACACACACACATACACTGAATGAAAAGGAGAAAGTGAGCTGTGCACGTCAAAGCTGTCGGCTTACTGACTGCATGCAGTGTGGCCAGCTGCCTCCTGCCCCTGTCATTGTGGACTGTACCCCCTGGACCTGGGGTCACAGTAAAGCCTTCCTAAGTTGCTTTCGTCAGATACTTTGTTACAAATGAGGTGAAACAAATAACTAATGTGTGTCATTATCACCCAGAATCCCTAGCTTTCTTCAGGGTTCACTTTTGCTGTTGTATGTGTGTGGAGTGTGGATCTGAACAAAGGTGTCCACCACTGTGTTGTCCTACAGAGTAGTTTCACCGCCTTAAAATTCCTTTAGTGTTCTGCAACACCGAAGGGACTGTGTTCTTACCCTGGGAGCCCCCTCCTAACATTAGTTTTGTTTCCTGTTGCTGTGGTAAAAGACTCTGACAAAAGCAGGTTAGGGCAGAAAGGTTTATCTTAGCTCTCCCAGTTCAGTTCACTGTGCTGTCGAGGCCTGCCTGTGTATCTCTGCAAGTCTCCTTTGCTAGATAAGTGTCTCAGGGACTTGGGCTGGTAAGAATTCCCATCATTAACCAGTAAGAGTGGCCTACTGTGCTGGAACCACACAAATGAGAGGGCTTATGCCAAATGGCTGCTTTCTTTCTGAAGTCTGTAGTCCTGGAGAAATGGTTCATCAGTGAAGAGTGCTTTGCCGTTCATCCATGTGGATTGAGTTCAGATCTCAATACCAGCTGTCAAGGGGAGGACTCATAGATGCTTGTAACTGCAGCTCCAAGTGATCTGATGACTTACTGTGGTCTCCACAGGTGCACATGCATGCAAGTGTGTGTGATACACATACTAAAATAATGAAAAATACAGTATTAGAAGATAAAAATCCTCCAAAATGAAAACAGAATAAAGTGGATGAATGCTAGGTTTCTGTGTGTCTTGAGTATCTGATTGTAGACTCCTATCATAGACCATTTGTCTCTCTGTCAGTACTCACACTTTAAAGAAATTTTATAAGCCAGACATTTAGCAGGTGCTGCCTCTAAAAAGAGCAGTCACCATATAAAAGACAGGAATTTTTCACTCAGTAGTTCAGCAGCCCTCCTGGGCAGACTACATGCTGTAACCAAGTCATAGCATCTCATCTGTACATTCCTCACAAATTTATCACATCAATAAGGGGAAAGACTGATCAAAATAAATTATATGAAAATAATAATAAAAATTTTAAAAAATGAGAACAACAACAACAACAAATCTAGATGAAATGTCTCACCTTTAATTACAGATCATGAAAAGTATGGTGAGGGTCCACCTCACCCACATAAACCACACAGAGTTACGGGGGAAAGATGCAGTCTGCATGCCTGAATCAGGAAAGGTGCACGCCTCTCTCACCAGACTGCCTTCAGGCATGCACAACTGAAGATGGCTGAGCAGTGGCTGGTCAGGCTGCTACAGGGCTGTCAGCACAGAGCTCCTGCCATGTGCCCAGCACTGAGGAGTTCGCAGTCAGCAGCACCTAAGGCCGACGAGCAGGAGGCAGCCCTGACATTACAGCAGCTGCAGGTGGGAACGTGAAGGCCTTGAAACTTCAAGGTGCTGAGAAGGTGTTTTCATTAAAGCATGTTTTAACACCCCTCTCAAAAAAACAAAAAACCTTTGTAGTATATTTTAATATCTGGTAGCATTGGCTTCCTATTGCATGTTATTTTTATTTTCAAAGTATTACCGTATCTTCTTGCTTATTTATTTTTCTGTATGGACTTTGGAAAGAACATGCCGAGCTCCAGAGAATGTTGATGTTTTTATTGTGGTTATATTAAATGTATAAATTAATACGATAAGTCATGTTGCATCTGTCTAGCAATATTGTACATCCTTCATTATCTTGAGTCCCTTTCATGTCTTCCAGGACCTGTCTTCAAGTTCTGCTAGCATGGCACTGCATATTCCTGGTTAAACTAATGTAGAGTGTTCTGTTTTTACTCTCATAAATCCCCACTTTATACTCCTTAATGATTACATGATAGATTTGATGTTGAAACCCGTCATGTGTTTATTGGTGATCACTCGGGCCAAGTCACTATCCTCAAACTGGAACAAGAAAACTGCACACTGCTCACATCCTTCAGAGGGCACACAGGTAAGATCTGAGAAAAGGCTGCCATCACCTCAGCTTAGTCTGGTCCTTCCATGTTTGAAGGTGGCAGAGAACAACCTGGGCTTGGGCAAAACTACAGCTGATACAGGTACACTTAGTTGATTGTGAAGTGCTTCAGTAAGAGGTAACACCAAAACAAGTTTCTCCACGATTCAAACAGAAGAGAAACCGTTCTCTTGAGAATGTTAAGCCTTTCCCGTTGCTGTGGAGAAAGCCAGTGCTGGAGTGTGTTGAAGGGGTGCTTGCGACCATGTGGCAATGGTTCAAACCCCAGGAGACTGCTAGGACACTTGTCCTTTTCACGCTTGAAGTAAGAAAACAGTGTGCAAGAAATATTCCCCCCCTCCCGGAGAGAGGAAAAAGAAAGCCAGACTACATGAAAGGGGACAGATTGGTCTTCCTAGTGGGCCTCAAGTGTATAACCCCTTACAGCACTGGTGTGCTCAGGATTATCTACATAAGATAAAAAATAATCATCCATAATTCTGGAAAGGCCTGAATTGATGGCAGTAATGGATACAGGCTTTTTTTTTTTTTTTTTTTTTTTTTTAATAGCATTGGCTCCAGAAAATGTTGATTTTGGAGAAATGTGCCACTGCCTGGTTTATGTTTGCTAGTGGGCTTTGGTGTTTGTTTGTTTTCAGTTTTTTTGGTAAATAACTAACTCATGCTTTAGTGTAAAGATAATACTCCATCTGGATGTCATAGAAAAATGAAAGTAGATAGGAAAGGATGTTTAATTGAATAGTGTCCATTTAGTCATAAGGGATTTGCAGGGGTGGGGGAGTGAGGGGGCCAGAGAGATGGCTCAGCAGTTTTAGAGTGCTTGCTGCTCTTGCAGAGGCCTCAAGTTCAGTTCCCAGCATCCACATTGGGTGTCTCCCAACTGCCCTTAACTCCAGCTCCAGGGATCTGACCTGTGTGTCTAGACTCCAGTAGCTCCTCCCACTGCTTCCCAGTGTACCATGTCTTCAGCTGATAGCATTCCTCCTTCTTGGTGATCTGGAGTGTTAAGGTTCAGGCTGACTGTCTACCTTTTTTGCTTTCGAGAACCAGGAGCCCCATCTACAAGTCACTCTTGAGATTTAGACCATCGATGCCATTGCAAGGGCGTGATTGCCATCCCCCTCCAGCCTCCTTCTTCAAAAGCTGCCGTAGCTTTTCAGTGGTTTATTTCTTGCCTATTCTGTCCTCTGCTAGAAACTGAAACAGACTTGTCTTTTGTTTCTTTTCTCTTCTGTATGGGAGCAGCCTTCCTGTGGGCCCAGGCAGATTCTCAGGATCCTCACACCAAAATGGACTCCCTTTGGACAACAGTTCCTCTCCAGTTATTGTTCCACCTAAGTTTCTTGCTTCTCTGTTGAGGAAACAACGGAACCCTCTTAATCCGTACCCTCCTGTAGTCGTTCCCATTACTCTTCTAATTCTGTCCTTAAGTTACAAAACTTGCAGCTACTATTTTAACCGTCTTGTTTGGTGGAGCTGAGTACATTTGGTCATAGTGCTATTATCACCATCCATCACAGAACACTTCATCTTGTGAAGCTGCAACCCTCCACCCTTAGATGGCAGCCCCTCCCCATCACCCCTGGTTCTTTCTGTTAAAGTGACTACTCCTCGTGTGGGATCATTTAGTACTTCTCCACTTGCAAAGGGCTTGTTTGCATGCAGACTGTAGCAGCTAGTTCTTACAAGAATGCCATTCCCTGGCTGCTCCCAGGCCTTCGCCTTCTAGTTCCCTTCCAGCCTAGAGGCAAACATCTGGTTTGTCTCTGTTATCTCATTTGAATTGCTCCCCCTGAGGTGGCCCCTGGTCTTCTGGGATGTGTTTGAGACCTTGTTGTGTTTAACATTGGGCAGCATTTTCCATGGTGACTGTTCCTGTTCCTCGCTGCTCTTGCTGCCTCCGTTCATATCTGTGAACTAGCCTCTCCCACCTTCCCTCTGCCTCTGGCTGCTCTCAGAATCTGCACATCTGCCTCGGGTCCTCCTCTCCTGACCCTTTGCTCCATGGTGTGGATCTCAATGGATTCTCTCAGTCAGAAAGAAAAGCACAGTTGTTGTTCTCAGATTCCTCAGAGCCCACTGAGAGCCAAGCTATGCTGTAATGGTGCCTGGTAACAGAGGCCTGGGAAAGAAGCACCAGGGACTTCCAGGCAGCTCACTTGGCGGGGTGGGGGGTGGGGTGGGGGGGTGTTGATTGATGGGGGAGGGGGCATTCAGGGAAGCTGTTGCTTGACCTGAAATCCTAGGGAATGAGTGAGTGTTGATTCTTAGGGAGCACCCAGAGGATGTCTGGGAGAATGCCAGCACAGTGAGAGCACAGAGCTCCAAGAGCCTATCTGAGCACTGCCACGGCTGCTCACCCCTCTGAGGCTGCACGTCTCTGTCTGAAGCGGGAGTGGAGGCAGTTGTGGCAAGTAGCCAGAAAGAAAGCCACAGTCACTTCAGATCCCTAAGGCTCACCCTCCCGACTTACTTTGACATCCTTGAGAAACCGTGAATGAGTTTGAAGCCAAGAAACAGAGGCATCCAATCCCCTGGAGCTGGAGTTGCAACATTCTGGTCTCTTGTAAAAGCAGCATGCACTCCTAACTGCAAAGCCATCTCCCCAACTCCAGAAACTGTCTCTTAAAATGAGGTGCTGATGGGAGGAAGGGGGAGCGGGTAGATTCAGGGTTAAATATAGGAAGTTGAAGATCATCACAGTGGGGGCTAGAGTGTGCTCAGTGGGTAGGGTACTTACTAGTACTAGTGAGGCCTGGGTCTGCTCTGGGAGCAGGGGGTTGTGGGGAGAGTTAGCCTGCTGACTAACCAGATTGGAATAGGCAGAAGTGGCCACTTGACTCAGTCAGGGGTCCCCTGAGTTCTTTGTCATTATCACCAAGTCAGCAGGTGTGAGAAACTGTTTCTGCCCTCCGAGTTGTTGGCTGGATGTGGCTGAGAGTTTTGTGTTTTCGCATGCTTGCTGTAATGTAGAGAGTTACTTAGGTGTTGGGTCTTAATCATTCTATAGTTTAAAGCATTCTCATCTCGTTTTTATCATGCAGCATCTTTGAGGCAGATTGCATGGCTCAGGAAGGTTCTAGCTCACAGGAGGGCAAAGGTAGTCACTGAGATGGAGAATGCGGAGAGGAGCCTCATCATTGGCTGCAGCACAGTTTGCTCAGCTCACTGAACACCCAGTTCACAGTGTTAAGCTCTTCCTATGTAGGAGGCCTCTTCTGTGCCTCAGGCAGTCCAAAGTCTTGGAAAGGGGTTTTTATAAGGACCAAACAAAGACCAAAGCCAGATCCATCAGAGGAGGAAGGTGTCTCATCAATTGAGACCTGACTCACACATAGAGGTCTTCAATGTTTGTGGGTGGATCCATGGTCATTCTCCCCATCATTCTCTTCTTTCTTGGGGAGTCATGGCCATTGGTCTCATTGTTCTCTTTCATGGGGAGCCAAGGCCACTGGTCCCATTGTTTTATCATGGGGAGCCCTGGCCATTGGTCCTATTGTTCTCCTTCATAGGGAGCTGTGGCATTTGCCCCATCATTCTCTTACGGTGTAGAAAGTCATACAGAAATGTGGAGTAGTGATGGAACCAGCAAATAGCTGTAGTTTCTCATCAGTGGAGAGTTAGGAAACTAATTTTGTGTTCTTAGCTCCCTCTGCTGGATTTCTTTCTGGAACTAAATGTCAAGTACCATGATTCTTTTCTGAAGTAATTTCTTCATATACATGTCTACTAAAAAGCTCTAAATTGAGCTGAACAAATCGGGAAAATCTATTTTGACCACTGTAAGTTAATAGCATCAGTAACATCTTTATTTGTATGATTTTTGTTTTATATGGTAAGGTCTTGCCGTGTGTCTCAGACTGGTCTCAAATTCATAGCGATGTTACTGCCTCAACCTCCCAAGTATGCTGGAATTACTAGTGTGAGTAATGTACCATGCCTAGTCCAAGAATTGTTTTAATTAACATGAACATATGAGAGACAGGAGGGTCTGAATGTAATCTGTCAAAGTCATCTAATTCACAAATAATTAAACACCACCTTATTCATTCACTGTTTAGGAGAACCAAAAGGAGTAGTGTGAGCCGGGCGGTGGTGGCGCACGCCTTTAATCCCAGCACTCGGGAGGCAGAGGCAGGCGGATCTTTGTGAGTTCGAGGCCAGCCTGGTCTCCAAAGCGAGTTCCAGGAAAGGCGCAAAGCTACACAGAGAAACCCTGTCTCGAAAAACCAAAAAAAAAAGGAGTAGTGTGGCTGTTACAAAAGCAACAGAGAAAACCAAGAAAGTCCTGTGCACATTTGTATCTTCAAACAATTACATTGAGAACTTTACCTTGTTAAATGTACACTTGCACCCAGATCTCTCTGTGAGGTCTGACTCAGTGTGTGGAGACTGCCCCTTAGTTGATGAACATTGGCTTGTTCTCTGTGTGAATGATGCCAGTGTGTGGAGGTCAGTAAAGCAAATGTAGTCTTTGCCTCCACTCACCTACAGTGTAGCCTGCAAACACATCAGACCGATAATTGCAGGTAATTCTTCAAGATGCTCTGTGGGCAGAAGTGCTGTGAAGCCCTGATGGGCTGCTTGGAAGCAGTAAGAGAGCCTCTTTTGTGCAGCTGGAGAGATGGCTCAGCAGTTAAGAGCACTGGCTGCTCTTCCAGGGACCCAGGTTCAATTCCCAGCACCCATTTGGCAGCTCATAGCCATCTATAACTCCACTTCCAGCAGATCCACTGCCCTCTTCTGGCCTTTGCAGGCACCAGGCCTGCACATGACATTTATGCAGACAAAACACCCACACATAAAATGAATAAATAAGTTATACAGGGGGAAAAAAGAGAAAGGGGAAAGCTCACAGGGGGAGCTCACAAATCCTCATCACTTAGACCTGGAGTAGTAACTTTGGTGACGTTTTATGTAAGAAGCACAGTGGTCTGAGCAGGCCCTCTGTTAGCCAGTTATTAGCCTGCCCAACTTACTGTGGAGGGTGTGATACCAGATTCTGAGGAAGTTCTTCATCACACTTGGGCAGACCCAGCAGTTTCTAACTCTAGTTCAGTTTTGCAAGGCTTTTGTACATATCTCAAAAAAATTAATTAATTTAAAAATAGTTCACTAAGCATTTTGGTAACAGGTATTAAATTTCTAAAAACATTTAGACTCTGACCCAGTTCCACGTTTGATATTCTTGTCTATGTAAAATAAAAAATGTGGAACAAGGGGGTGGAGTTACACAGCTACCCAGGAGGCTAAGGCAGGGGAATCACTTAGCCAGCTAGAGACCAGCATGAGCAACCAAGTCCTTGTTGTTCAAAAAATAATAGTAAAGAGAGGCCAGAGAAATGTCTATGCAGCAGTTAGGAGTGCTTGCTGCTCTTGTAGAGGACTGGAGTTGGTTCCCAGCGCCCATGTTAGGAGGTTCACGCCCACAACCGCTTGTGATTCCACCTCGGGGATCTGACTCCTCCTTGTGGCCTCCACAGAAGCCCACATGAATATACACATATATACTCATGCACATAAATTTTAAAAGCTGAAAACAATAGTGAAAGAAATGTGAATAGTTTTTATTGAAATGCTTATCTCTGCAAATTTATAATATTCACTTAAAAGTTGAGGAATCCAGTAAGTAAAAGTAACTCAGGATGCATACACGTTGTAGGATGTTACCCCACCAGTAACAATTACATTCATAAAACATATACAGCATAGATTTTACGTTTCAGCTCCTGTGCTGGTTTTGGTTTGGTTTTGCACTGTGGGCCTTGTGCATACTGGGCAGGTACTCTACCACTGGTCGCATCCCTGGCCATTTCATCCCATTTTCAGTGTACAGTAGTTCAAGGAAATATTTCTGTAATGACCTAACTTTATAACAGAGCCCATCATCCATTAAGTCTCTGAGTTGATGGATCTTTTCAAACCATCCTTTCTCACAGTGCCCACAGTTGTTTAAATTTGATGTGCTTCTTTAAAAAATCGAGCTATCCATTTTACATGTTTTATAGAAAAAGTCACATCTGTCACCTTGCTTTATTTGTTTCCCTGATTGGGAAACAAATGGCCTGACTTCAGATTCTCAAGCATCCCATGATGAAAAGGTCAGCTGGGTGAAGGCGTCACATCAGCAACACTGCTTACCCAGGAAAGAGGTGTCTCAGCCCAGCTTCATCTAGGAGGAAGGCCAAGGGCATTCACTCCTCCTCCTCATCATCACACAGCTGCTGGCTCATCTGCCCATGCAGACTGGGTATCTGCCGAAAGCCAGGCGGAGGTGCTGATGAACGAGCCACAGCTCTGGCCTCCAGAACCTCTTGTCTATGAAGTGACAGCCACTCCGGGGGAGGAGGTCTGTGAGCAATGAGGGCAGTGGCAGGCTTGCCTCTAATGACATGGGATTTAGGTAAGGTTTGGCATGAAGTGAAGAAAAAAGGTTTCAAATTTTCATTTGTCTGCCCCTCATTCTGCCCTGGTGATGTGCTTGGCTGCTGTTGGGGGGAAGGTGGAGTGTGGTAAGGGTGAGGGCCGGGTTAACCACACATTGCTAGGGGAAGTGAGGTTCATTGTGAACAGGAGTGTGTGCAAGCAAAATGCAATGCACGGAGCGGAAGAGGCTGGTTAGCAAATCCATAGCAGTGGGAGCGAGGGGGCCCCTGTGACCTTAAAAGAGTCTGCTGGGACAGTTAGGAGAGAAACTTCCCTAATTGGGTAGCTATACACTACAGCACCTGAAGCTTAGGCAGTGGTTCTCAATACTTCCTAATACTGCGACCCTTTAATACAGTTCCTCATGTTGTGCTGACCCCCAACCATAAGATTATTTCATCGCTACTTCAGAACTGTAATTTTGCTACTATTATGAACTGTAAGGTAAATATCTGTGTTTTCCAATGGTCTTAGGCAATCCCTGTGAAAGGGTCAGTTGACCCACAGGTTGAGAACGGCTGGCTTAGTCCTATGTGATTGGTCCAGTCAGTTCTCATCCAGTAGGTAGTGAATAGTGGTAGTGATCAGAGTAGTACCACCTTCCTCACTTCGTAGGGGAGTGTTGTTCTGGTTTCCTCTCTGCTGCCCTATAAAACATTCTGATTTATGGGAGGAAAGTGTTTATTTGGCTTATGCTTTCAGATCACAGTCCATCATTGAGGGACATCAGGGCAGGAACCCAGGCATAAATCTGAAGCAGAAACTGGAGTAACACTGCTTGCTGGCTTGCTCACTGGCTCGTGATCAGCCAGCTGTTGTATACTTCTCAGCACCACCTGCCTAGAGATGGTGTCACTCACCATGGGCTAGGTCCCCTGTGTTAACAAACAAGAGAATCCTCCACAGGCATGCCCATAGGCCAGTTCAGTCCAGACAGTCTTCAGTTGAGGCATCTCCTCTCAGCTGACTCTAGACTCTGTCAAGTTGACAATTAAAGCTAAGTAGAACAAGGATACTAGCACTTAGGAAATAAGTGATTTATACAGGATTTGTAAGTTCAAGTTCCCAAAGAAACAATTTCTACCTCTAATGTTGTCCCTAATTATACCTAATATCCAAATATAAAAACATATCACAGTATTCTGAAATAAAGACATGCAAATAACCAGCAGTTACAAAGGAAAATGCTCAATATCACTAATCACCAGAGAAATCAAAACCACAGTGTAGTGTCCTCTCTCTGCAGGTAAAATGATATGCTGGCTAGTTTTATGTCAGCGTCATGAAAGCTAGAGTCATTTTGAAGGAGACGCTCTCAATTGAGAAAATGCCCACACCAGACTGGCCTGTGGGCAAGCCAGGGGAGCATTTTCTTGATTGATGATTAATGTGAGAGGTCCCCGCTCATTGGGAGCAATGCCTCCCTGGGCTGGTGGCCTTGTGTGCTTTAAGAAAGCAGACTGACTGAGCAAGCCATGAGAAGCAAGCCAGTAAAAAGCACTCCTCCAAGGTTTCTGCTTCAGGTTCTGTTTCCAGGTCCCTGCCTTGCTTGAGTTCCTGCCCTAACTTCCCTCAGAGATGGACTGTGGACAGAGGAAGATGATAGAAACCCTCCCCTTCCCATGTTGCTGTAGGTCATGGTCCTGGTGCTGTGTCACAGCAGTAGGAACCCTAGCTAAGACAAATGGTATTGATAAACAGTAGCAAGTGGAGCAAAGTGTGGGGGAAGGTACTGCACACTGGTGGGAGAATTGTAAATTATTTCAGCCTTTATAGAAAGTATTGTGGAGGGTCTTCCGAAAACTAAAACTAAACTTACTTCTAGGCATGGTGGTACATGCCTGTCATCCTTGTTTGTACATCCTGTACATGCTTGTTGTTAACTCAGGAGACAAAGCCAGGAGGTTCATCAAAAGATCAAGGCCAGGCTAGGCTACACAGTAACACCCTGTCTAAAAAACAAATGAACAACGAATAAAATCTCACATGATCTAGCTACTAAGGTTATAGTCAAAGAAAATGGAGTCGGTATACCAGAGATAGCTGCCCCATTGTAGAATTCCTCATATAACTAAGGGGTGGGAACAGACTACCTAATGTATTATGAATGGATAAAGAAATTGTTATATGCCTACACATATGATTGAATACTATCATGCCATAAAAATGGATGAAATTTGTCAACCAGATTGGATGGGTTAGAGGACATTATGTTAAATGAAATAAGCCAGACACAGAAATAAGTACCATGTGATATCACATGGAATTTTAAGACGTTGGCCTCAAAGAAGTAGTGGATAGGTCAGTGGTCCCCAGTTGGTCAGTGTATACCAAATTGTAGTTAGAAAGAGTAAACTCTGATGTTTTGTTGCACAGAAAACAGAATGGTATTGTATATCTCAAAGTAGCTGGGAAGGATTTTGAATGCTCCCATTGATGAATGTTTGATGAGATGAATATGCTAATTACTCCTTTGGTTTGCTTGTTATATGATGTACACCTAAATTAAAACATCACATTGAACCCCACAAATATGTATAGTTATTATGTGTCAAGAAAGGAAGAGATCTAATTGAGCATTTTAATTCTCATTTTCTTCTCGTTCGTTATTGTCAGGGTGAGGAGTAGGTAGTAGCTAAGAAAATGTAGTTAATACTTCCAAACAATTCGATATTTCCCTTAGAATTACCAGTGAATTGCCCTCTGTTGTTTATAGTAGTTGATTTTATGCTATATTACAATGGATGTGCTGTTTACAGGCCAAGTTTTTTTTATTTTTGGAGCAGTTTTACTTTTCTGGGGCTTACTTACCCACTCATTTAACAGATACTTAATTCAGGAACTGTGTGGGTCCTGATGGCGTCAAGACCCCCTTTCGTGGTGAGGCTGTTGTTCTTGACTAACCCTGGTGTGTCTGTTCTCTTAGGAGGGGTGACAGCGCTCTGCTGGGACCCAGTGCAGCGCGTGTTGTTCTCAGGGAGTTCCGATCACTCCGTCATCATGTGGGACATCGGTGGGAGAAAAGGGACAGCCATCGAGCTCCAAGGACACAAGTAAGGCTGAGGCGGGTCTTCCATAAAATCTCACAGCAGGCTCCTGGATGAGGTGGACAAAGGCACAGGGCAGGCTGCTGCGGGACCTTTGCTCCAGAAGGTGCATGTCAGGGACACCGTATCAGCCAATTTGACTTGTGTGTACAAAGGCTGCTTCTAGCCACTGAGGACCCAAGCGTGCTTCTGAATGCACACAGTGAAATAACAGCTGTAAATAAACTCAGAGCAAAAATTAAAGCCATAAAGAATATAAGTGAATGTTGAGAGTGAGACAAAACATTGTGAAATACGAGTTGGAAGCCTGTGAAGTCTCTGTACAATTCAGGCTTCTGGCAGCTTGAGGAGGGCAGAATTGATATCCTTCCATGCTTAGTACCTCGCCCAGTACTTTAGTCCAGTTTGCCCTGGTTCCTGTGTGGTTGGGTTAGACCAGTAGCTAATGTGTCTGCTGCTGACCAGCAGGCGCTAGCTAGACACTACAGCTGTGAAGTGAACTTTGGCCAGCCTGTGGCAGCTGATGAGCTCTGGCGATGTGTTGTTTCTTTTCTGCTTAGACTCAATGTGCCTTTTTCTTCTTCCTCTCTTAACCATTCCTGGTTTTCCTTCCTTGCCCCAGGATGACTGGGTCAGTGTTGATGCAAATCAGGGATGCCGTTGACTTTAGGGACTGGGCACACTGGCATGGGTCTGTCCAGTCAGGATATCGAGATAGTGCCTCATGTCTTTTGTGTTACAGTTCTCACCACCTCTTGCAGCAGCTCAACATTGTTCCTGGAAGGTCGTAATGGGGCTGACAAAATCCCAGGCATAGTCCCTCCACTGTGCCTTTCTGATGTGTCACTGTGTTAAACACACAATGCCACACAGGTTTGTGTCCTGTGTAGCCAAAGTAAACCGGGCTGTACCCTCTGGGTCTGTACACTCACTGACGGAATCACCTGACACACCTGTTTTCAAAAGCCTGTCTCCATCGTTAAGACAAACTTTATAAAGGTCTTGTCAAGACAGAGAAAGTGACTGTTGACGTTGACGAGTTTTCGTGTCCAAAGGAAGAAAGCTTAGAAAAGACACTCCCGTAATGTTATCTGCGTTTCAGGCATTTTGGTGTTTTGAGTCCCCGTGGCAAGTGGAATGCAGTCGTGTTCCAGGCTAGCTCTGTGCAGGGAAAGACAAAGGACGAGGCTCCAGTTTGGGAGGCAGTTCAGATTCCTAAGTGTCAGCTGTTAGTTTCACACATACTGCAGACACGTAACCTGGAGGTGTGTTGTGCCAGGCCCACTGTATCTTATACAGCAATGCCACCTTTTGGTTTGTTTTTTGAGACAGGGTTTTGCTATGTACCTCTGACTGGCATGGTATTCACTATGTAACCCAGACTGTCCTCAAACTCATGGAAGTCCCCCTGCCTCCAGCTCCTGAGTGCTGAGGTTACAGTATGTGCTGCTGCCACCTTTTGCTTTAGGTCTTTACTTATTCTTAGAAAAATACCTATTGTTTCCTGACCAGCCTTAGGACTGTAGTTTTGCTAGTAGTGTTTTCTTAGACCTAAAACTTCTGGGAGAGTTAATGTACTTTGATTTCAAGCAGTGGAGAGCTTGTGTTGCCCTTATATGTTGGGACCCATGATGGACTTGAGCAGGAGGGTTCGTGAGGCCAATTACAGCCAGGATTCTTAGGTACACACAACTCATGTTCTTCCCCTTTGCATAATTCCGACTCTTACTTTACTTCCTGTTTCTCTCACCATGTGTAAGATTTCCCTGTTGAGCACCCTTAGCCTTTTGGGAGTCCAGTGTGGTGGGACATGGTGGGATTTACCAATAATCCCAGCTCATGGGAGACAGGCAGGAGGAAAAGGTGTTCAGAGCCATCCTTAGCCAGCCTGGGCTACTTGAGATCCTACTCAAAAGAAAAAAAAAAAAATACATGTGGAGGATTTGAGTTTACCCCCCCCCCCCCCACCCCGTATCAAGTAAATTGCACCTGAGGCTATGAAAAGAGAAGCGTTCTCAACTTGCCCTCTGCGTTGGAGGAGCCAGTGAGGGTGAGGTCAGCATGCACAACTGCTTCCTTTTAAGTCCCTGGGATGTAAGGGCAGCATCTCACTGCATGCTGGGAACATTAGAAGGAGCAGTCTTTCGTTTCTGATTGTTTCACTAAATGCATAACAGGCTAGAATCCTGTCGTAGAAGGCAGAGCTGTGGTTTTTGTTTGTGTGTGTGTTTTCCTTTATCTTTTGTTTTGTTTTTTGAGACAAGATTTCTCTGTTTAGCAGCTGTCCTGGAACTTGCTTTATAGATTGCCTAGAACTCACAGAGATCCACCTGCCTCTGCCTCCCAAGTGCTGGGATTAGAAGTGTGCACCACTGCCCCCTGGCGGCAGGACTGTGTTTATCAGTTAGCATTCAGGCTAAGGTTAGGAGCACTAGCTGCTCTTCTGGAGGACCTGGTGCCAGCACCCACTTGGTGGCCCAACCAGTCTGTAACTTTAGTTCCATATTTGATGTTCTCGTCTGGCCTTTGCAAGTACCAGGCACACAAGGAGTGCACAGACATAAAATGAAGTTGAACAAATATTTTAAAGAATTAAGGTTCCAGAAGGCCTCATTCTTTGAAAGGCCCACTTCCGTTTTCATGTTCTGCTGTTGCTGCCTTCTCTTTCTTTATGAATCTTGACAAGAAGCCAGCCCTATATTTTCATTTTGCACTGATGCAATCATGTTACATAGCTGGGTCTGGTGGGCCATGTTTCCTCTAGAACTGCTGAGAAGCATGAGACTGTCCCTCTGAGTATAGTGTTTATAGGAGGCGGATCTCCGTGCTCAGGGAAGCACGGTTTTCATGTACTCATCAGAACACATACGGTGTGTATGTGGAGGCCCTCATCCACAAAATAATAATCAGCTTTGAAATGCTTTCTAGTATAAGCACTCTGGTGGTAGCAGATGAAACATGAAGAGAAGAAGGTTTCTTTTCATTCTCTCCCCTAGTTTTTAATTGTGAGGTAGTTGAATTTTCAATCCTTAAATCAGCAAATCCCCAAGCAGATTATTATAAAGCTTGAGGCCTGCCGTTTATCACTGGGTTCTACTCTCCTGGGCTGGAAGATTAACAGCCCTGGAGCCTCCTAACACATTTGTTGCTGAATGCTGCCACCAGCTGTGAGTGGTGAAGCACTCCTTCTGAAGGACCTTTTGGCATTGCAGGATCATTGACATATGTCTCAGGATGCCTTAACAAAGTGGTTCTCAACCTGTGGGTCACAACCCTTTGGGGGGTTCAATGACCCTTTCACGGGGGTCACATATCAAATATCCTGCATATCAGATATTTATATTACGATTCATAACAGCAGCAAAATTACAGTTATGCACTAGCAACAAAATAATTTTATGGTTGGGGGTCACCACAAGATGAGGAACTGTATTAAAAGGTCACAGTGTTAGGAAGGTTGAGAAGCATTGCCTTAACAAATGAAATGTAGTTCAATCATAGTTTCCAGTCTGTTCGGCCAGGTAGAGGATGGATTCCCCCTCTTGCCCTTGAAAATCAGAATGGAGGCGCTCCCTACCTTTAAAATCCTGACTTTTGAAATGAATGAATGTGAGTTATTTGATATCAGCCATTAGTTACTAAGAGAAGTGCTTTGATGTAACAACTGATCTGAAGGGAAACCCATCCATAAGCAGTAGAAAATGCTAAAGTGAAGGCTGGGGCCAGGCTGAGTCCGTCAAGTGCTGGCCACACAAACTTAGGGCCCGAGTTTGGTCACTAGGACCCAGCTAAAGAGCTGGGCGTGGTAATGTGTTCTTGTAATCATGGTGTTGGCGAAGCAGAGAGAGATGGGTGGCATCGCTGCCCAGCCAGTGTAGCCGTAAACACAACAACAACAACAACAACAACAACAACAAAAGGTGGAAGGCTTCTTAGGAATGATCCCGAAGTTGACCTCTGACCTCCACATGCATGTCACACCCTTCCCACAGCTGTGTACACATGGAATGCCCAAGTTCATCTGTGTGTGGAGATACAGCTGGCTTTTTCATGGGTTGGGTGGGGACTGGGGCTAGTGCCATCTTCACTGGGCAAGATTTTGGTACTGTCGTTTTTGTATAATGCAGGGTTGTAAAGCAGCGGTCAAATGTACTACTCATACAGACCCTGTAGAATCCAGTAGCCCAGAAAAGTGTGCGAGCTCCCAGCTGACACAGTGTGAAAATAGACGCCATCATCTCATTTTGCCTATTTCAAGCTTGTTGATCTACTTGACAGCTCGTCTGCCCCAACTCTGTGACCAGAATAATGTATAAAGCTCACAAACATTGGCTTGTTTGCTCTTTTTTTTAAAATTGTTTTTACTTGCTGACTTTTAGAAAGTCTTGCTGTGGAGCCCAGGTTGGTCTTGAACTCAGATGATCTTACATCAGTCTCTCTAGTGCTGGGATTACAGGTGTTGCCACAACTCCTGGTTATGAAGGGTTACTTTTGATCACAAGAAAGATAGGGAGAAAGGCAGGCTGTCCTCATAAAGTGTGGCCTAATTATTTCTAGTTTTGCAGTGAGTACCAGTGAACCATGCATTCCTTTTGAGGCATGCTCTGCCTGCCTAGATCCACATAGCATTCTGTTCACACACAAAATACTAACTTCGGCCTGGTTATTGTTACAAACTTGTTAGATGGATTTTTTTTCCTGAGCTTTCCTCTGTTCCTTGCTTTGCCAAGGCTGAGAAGCCACCCCGAAAACTCCTCACCTAAGGCTCCTTCATTGGTAAATTCCTGGTGTCCAGCATCCCAGTTCCTGGTCAACTACATGGCTTTGTACTGTATGGTCCTGACCAGTTCCTAGGAGGGCTATGTAGACCTTGGCCTCATACACTCTTAAAGTGGCAGGGCACTTTTGATTCAGTGGGCATCATTCTCAAATGTGAAAGAGGCTTGGTTGTGCGGTTGGTTTGTTGTGTATGGGTGTGTGTGGGTGTGTGCATGTTCATGGGAGGCAATGTATGTGGAGACAAAGGGTTGATATTGGGTGTCATCCTCAATTGCTTCTTACTTTTTTTTAAGATGGAGTCTCTCACTGAACCTAGAGCTCACTGATCCAGCTGGGCTGGCTGGCCAGAGAGTCCTGGGGGTCCTCCTCTCTCTGCCTCCTTAGCTTTTATGTGGGTGCTGGGACCTGAGCTCAGCTCCTCATGTTTGTGCGCTAAGTACTTTACGGAAATCCCCCCATTCCCTGGGGATTGATTGTTGTAGAACCCATGGAATGGCTGTGTTACCATGAACATTAAGGGAAGTCTGAACAGGTTGAAGTTGTGGACAGTGTAAGATGGACTGTTTTTTAATGTTTTGATTTAGATTATAAAAGTAGAATTTACTAGACTGTAAATTAGACATGGCTTAAAGGAAAAGCACAGACATTATTACATATCCAGAAAATAAAATACTAAAATACCGATGGGATTCTAGACAACACATCCACAATTGGTGTTCATTTTGTTCTGTGAATAAGCTGTAATTCTTACTCTGCTGGATCCTGGGTTAGTGGTGACTGTTCATGATGCCATCTGTCACCAGAACAAAGTGAGCTCCTGTAATATAAGAGAATCCTGATTAGTCCGCTGCACAGTTTAAACACTGTCAATCAACGTGATGACACCCAGTAGCCTGTGTAGGATCTGTTCTTCACAATGTCAGTGTTTTCAAAGACTGATAGATGTGTTCTTTTTCTTGAAGTACTGTAGCCATCCTTTTTGGAAGTCTGACTTGACCTTCAGACGAACATCAGAGTACTACAAAGGATATCTGTAGCCTCTAGAGACTTAAGGGCTTAATGATTACTATGTCACAAGATAGCCTAGACTGCCTTGGAACTTGGTGTAGCCGATCCCATCCACAAATTCATAGCAGTTCTGCCTCAACCTCTCAGTGCTAGGATTACCAGTATGAGGCACTATGCCTGAATTCTATTTTGTTTTTTCTTCTTGTGATGTTAGATTTTGAATCTAGAGCCTCACCCATACCAGAAGCATTCTGCTATTAGTCTCAGCCCAGACCTTGATTCTACAAATAAATAGTAACACATATAATGCAATTGTGTGTTAGTAATGTTTAATGCAGGTGTACATAGTATCTCATTTTAAGGTGAAGGATCAGATCTTTATGGTTTTCCAGGACTATTGTGTGCTATTTTGATCACATTCTGACAATAAAGCTTTCTTTGAATCAGAGGGTGGAGCTAGCTACTAGCTGACCAAAATTAACCATAGAGGTTTTGGAGGACTGAGGACAGATGGAGATACAGGAAGTAGTAAGACTGGGCTCAGAGAGGAGCTTAGGCTTTTGGCTGAAGGAATGGAAGAGATAGGAGGTCACTGATGGCTTCTCTGCCTCTTCTCTGATCATTCAGGTTCTTTGATATTTGACTCCTGATTTTTATTGATAAAGAATAATTAGATAAACATATCACGGGAAGTCTTTTGGGAGAGCTTTGACATAAAACATCTTGAAGATTTTACTTTTTCTGAGTAGTGACTCAGTGTAAAAAGTAAAAATCAACCTGCTGAATCTGGGGTCCTAGGCTAAGATAGGAACACTGGCTATCTAAATAAAGTAGTAATAAGTACCTTAACATTAATACCGAAAATCACACCATTTTAAAGAATGGAGCCTTCTTCACAAGTGAATGCCCCTCATCTCCCTCCTTTCTTTAAAAAAATAAAATCAAGGACATTAGTCACGGTAATACAAAGATCCAGACATAATTCTGAAAACAGACTGCATCTAGGCAGTTCCACAGAGGTAAAGAGTACCCTTTCACACTGGTCAAGGGCAGTAATCAGCACATCAGAGAAGCAGTTGCAGCTGAGTAATGTGCCCAGCCCTGTAATGGACTTCTTCAGATACTGTAAAACAGAACCCACCCCTTCCTTCCAGCCCCCCACCCCACCCCACCCTTGGACCATTTGGCATTCTTCTTCTCTACAAAGTGTACATCGGGTTTTCTTGAGCTAGATGCTGAGTGGTCTTAATAAATGCAGGAAACTGTGAGTATCTGACTTTTGCTGAGCTCTACAGTAGGGTGAATCTCAAGAACATCAAACATTGGATTTTTCTCATCACATTTTCTGTTTTGGAAAATTATTTTTCCATTTAATATGCATAATGTCCAAGTGGAATGTATTCCTCATTGCAAATTTGAAATGAATCTGTTTTATTCTCAGTTTAATCTAAAAATACAGTAAATATTTTATCCGTGTTTTAAACCAAGTAAGTTTTAAAAGTAAAGGGAGGCCTCCGGACAATGGACTTGACCCTAGGACATCTCCCTCCCAGGCCTGAGGTTACAAGTCTGCATTGCCACAGCCAGCCCCCGCTGACAGAGTCTTAACTACTCACTTTCACTGTAATAATTACCAAAGTAACTAGCCGATATTTCATGGAGAAAACCGGGAGGAGGGAGGATAGAGACAATTGAGAACTGCCTTCTATAAGCATTTTAGAGACTAGCAAGGAAATGCACCAGAGTTTCCACTATGACATATAAACTCCCTTAAGGGAGAATTAACAAGATGTTATAGTCAGTTCAGCAATCATCTCTTATTTGAATGTTGGTAACTGACCAAAAGTACTTTCTCGTGAACCTGAGAAGACTAAAACAATGTTTAAACTCATGTTAGGTCTGACTGTTGTGTGTTGAAGAGTCTGTAAAGATTCCAGCTACTCGCTGGAGCTCTGTTGAATCCGAGTATTGTCTGGCTCTGATGGGCTTTCCCCTGTGGAGCATGTTGTTTGCCCCGAGCGGGCCCCAACCCTTGGTTTCCTCCACAGTGACAAAGTCCAAGCCCTCTCCTATGCACAGCACACAAGGCAGCTCATCTCATGTGGCGGAGACGGTGGCATTGTCGTCTGGAACATGGATGTGGAAAGGCAGGAGGTAAGTGGCACAGTACTCTGGGTGAGGCCTGCAGCGCTGTCTCTGCCCCTTCCTGCTTATTTCTGTAATGATTAAACCCCCAACTAGGATGCAGTATGTCATACGTTAGAAAACTCCTGAGGAGTCAGAGCACTCAGTTTGGTTTTAATGGAAATACAGGAACCAATATTCTTGTGATTGTTTGTCGTGTTCTAAATAGTCCCAAACACCATGCCTTGTCTTCTTAAGCACAGATTCAAATCTTGCCATACCACTATTGAAACTAATTTTGCTTTTTAATCTATAAGCATTTTAGCAATTAATATGTTGACTGGACATTGCCTGGACAAGTATTTTGAACTTAACCATTTCCTGTCGATGTGGAATTATTCTAGGTCAGCTTTCCCTTTGACAGTCAGCATTCTTGTCATTTATTTCTTGAAGGGTGTGAGATTAAATAGAAAAGCACACTTTATAAAGACAAAACTTCCCCAGTTTTTTCCATCCCCTCACCCCAGTCTCACTCATCCCAAGAGAGTCACTGGTATTACCCACAATGCTATGCCTTCAGATGCCAGTAATTAAATGCTTAGGAAGATCACAGCTCTATTTTGTGGAACCATAAATCCACAGGAGTTCTATTAGTAACTAATTAAAGTGCTCCTTAGTGGTAGGAAGCAGGGAAATGTAGAATATTGTTTTTGAAAAGTACACTTGGCACCATCCATGTACTGGCGGGGGACCATTACAGCACATGCTGGTCATGTGAAGCAGGCTCCCCTAGAGCTGGGGATTGTGTCCTGGCTTGCTTTGGGTTAGGGACAATCAGGCCTGATTCAGGCCTGGCTTTTGTGGGCCTTGTTTTGTTTTTAGTGGAAGGACAGCCCAAAGGAACATAAAATTTGTGTTGTTTCCAAAGATGAAAGTAGGCGTTTGGGAGCCAGCTTTGAGCCATTTTGACATGCATATATATGAACATTCAGTACTTGCTGAGGGGTTTAAGATCTTGTTAATTAGAAGCTCTGATGAGCAATGGGAATGATTTCATCCATCTTTTACAAATACCATACTTCGTAAGCATCTGGGAACTGCTTCCTAGTTATGACAGAGGCTGTGGGATGCTAACAATAATGAAGTTTGTTCTAACCTGAAGTGCTGACAGGCTCTCTAGAAAGTTCATAGTCTATTAAATGGTATAAGTAATGAAATTACAGTTAACACTAGTAAGACGGAATGTCAGTGCTGGGTATTGGGAAGGGATGTTAGGACTGGCTGTCAAAGGAGGGTCCAGTGGGCCAGCACATGCTATTACTTGGAGAGTCATGGGCTTTACAGGCTAAGAAAGACAAGGAGTAAGCAGGGTGGGTGTGAAAGGCTGCTGGGGTGTGTCGGTGCTGATGGGAAGTTTGCAGCAGTCAGGCATACGAGTTGCAGATGGAAGACAGTGTGGGGCAGGTGAGGGATTACTCTGCATGGCTGGATGCAGATCATTGCGACATCAGCCGGATGCAGGTGCTAAACGTGTTTGTCTATATGGCTAATGAAATCAATTGCTTATGTATTATTAGGTAGAGTACATACTCTGTAGAAAAGTTGGAAAATACTCATTAACAAATAGAAAACAGGTTTGTTAATCATGAAACCACCATCCAGAAATACCATGTTTACAGAATCTATAACTTATCTAAGACTCTCCATGTTGGCAAACAGCCATCCTTCTGTTTTCTCTACAATAACAAAAATTCTTTACACAAAAAATGGAATCCTATCAAATGTATTAATTTTTCCCCTCTGAATACCTTCATCATAGACACCTACTATGATGCATTTCACACCCAGATGTGTGTGAGTGTATATATGAAAGTATGTGTGGAGAAAGAAAGAGAGAGAGAGAGAGAGAGAGAGAGAGAGAGAGAGAGAGAGAATGTGTGTGATGTATGGTGAGTGGAGGGAGGGTGGTATATATGTATGGGGTGTGTGTTTATGATGTATGTATGAAATGTGCATGTATTAGAGCATTAGTGTATCGTCAGATGTCTAGGTGTGTGTGTCAGTGTGTAGTATATGTGTAAGATGTGTGTATGTCTGTATATGAGTATGTATGGTGTCTGTGTGTGAGTGTGTGGGGTATATGTTTGTGGTATGTGTATGTATGAATATATGTTTGTGTATGGTATATATGTGCGTGCATATATATGGTTGTGTATGGTGTGTGTGTGAGAAGAATGTGTAAAAGTGTAGATGCATATGAGTGTGTGTGGCATATGCACAAATAGTACTGTACTACAAGTCTAGTTCTCTCTCCACCTTCTGTCCCAGAACCATTTTGAGCTCTTCCCAACCTGCTCTAGCTCAGTGATACAGTGCTTATTAACATGCATGAGTTCCTAGGTTCAATCCCCAATACAACACTTACACTTACACATGCACTCAGCATGTATGCACATGTACACATGTAACACGTACACAGCACACACACAAAAGATCTGCTAAAGAATACCTTTACGCAGAACATACTATTGAACCCTGTCTGACTTAATTTAGACTACTTACGTCAGGGATACATACATACATACATGTATACATATACATATATACACACACACACACACACACACACACACACACACACACACACACACACACATATATCAATTAGACATCCGGATATGTCATTAGAGAAGTGGGACTGAAGTTCTCAGCATGATGCTCAGGAGCCTGCGAAGAATGACATGTGTCACTCCTCCAGCTTCCCCTCTGCCATCCTGAAATCGCACTCAGCCCCCTCCGCCTCTTCTCCTCCCTTCCTGCTTTGGGTCTCAGTCGACTTCCTTCTACAGAGATCCCAGCCTATGTCAGAGCCTCTGGTCTAGCTCACCGGCCCTAGCCTGCCAGAGCTTCTGTTCCCTCCCAGAACACTGCTTCCCTTAGGCCTTCAAACTCTCAGACATTTTGATGACTAACAATATCCTCGTGACATCTTCCCTAATAAATAATAATCTCTGTGATTTTAGGTTTTCTTTATTCAGCACTGTATCCCATCCTCAGGGCCTGACAGTTAGCAACCCTTCTGTAACTACCTTTGTGACTGAGGATCAGCTGTCTCTGACACATAAGTCCTGGTTCTGGAAGTCTAACCAGTGTCCACGGTCCTTTGTCATACTGCTTCTCACTGTGGCTGCTCTTGCTTTATTTGACAAGACCCCTGAGTGGTTGGACAGTGACTCCTGCCAAAAATGTGACCAGCCTTTCTTCTGGAACTTCAAGCAAATGTGGGACAGTAAGAAAATTGGCCTAAGACAGGTGGGTGATGTGTGCTCTCTTAAGGTGCGGTTATCTGGAAGTGCTTAACCACATAATCATAGAAGTAGTAGCCCCTGGGTGGGAGCTGTAGTGGACCCAGGGATTTTATAGCCGTGACACCTAAAGTCTACTGCAGCGCAGCCCCTCCCTGAGGTTGGGTTTCCTAGTGGTCTGTTCTAAGTGCTTGAGTGGTACAACTTTAAAGCTCTAATGGCATCTATTGAGGTATGCCTTAATATTAGAGGTGTCACAGTAGCTCATGTTGGCTCCAAACCATGAAATACGTGAGGATGTTTACTTCTTAATTATTCACTTTCCCTCCTTCTGACTTGGTTTGAGTTGTTTAGACCTGTTTATAACAACATTTTCAAAGTCTGATTCTATGGTTTGGGTTGCTCTTCCCCATGGAAATCAAATGTTAGGTTACCTGGGTTGAACACTGATAGAGTCGAAGACAAATGGCTAGTCAGAGGTCATGCAGATTTGTAATCTCTCAAGGTAGCATTTCCTCAGTTCGGCCAGCTTTAAGATCTGGCCGTTGGGTACTTCCGCTGCGTGCAGCTCACAGCAATGGTAGGTGAAGAGGTTGGGGAGCGGGAAACAGAAGAAGGAGGCATGCTTCCCAGAAGCCCTACTCTGATCTGAGAACAAAATTAAAAGGAGTAGAAATCTGATATTCCCTTGGTGGGCTTCAGGACACTGTTGTGTTGTGGTAGGTTGTGTGTTGTGTTGTGTTGTGTTGTGTGAGTGTGTTTATGTGTATGGTATGTAGGGTGGTATGATGTGATATCATGTATATTGTTTATTCGGTGAGTTACTGGGGGAAAACTATTTTTCTAATCCTTTTAGCACTTTGTAGCATAGTCAAATCATGTTAAGTATTCTGGTTTACCTTCGTCAAATATAAATTAAGCCCTTTTACCTAAGACACGAAGAAGTCCCAGTCTGGCTGCCTGGTGTCAGCCTCCCCAGGGCTGGGATTGTAAGGCTCTGTTATAATGGCCTACTATGGCCAGCTCTGGGGCACTCTGGCCTGGTGTCCTCACCCGAGAGCAGCTGGTTTACTGGTGTGCCAGGGCTGCAGCCAGAGCCATGGCAGCCTGTTTCCTTTTCCTCCAGCACCACTGCCGGAAATGTGGGAAGGCCGTGTGCGGCAAGTGTAGCTCCAAGCGCTCCTCCATCCCACTCATGGGCTTTGAGTTCGAAGTCCGGGTCTGCGACAGCTGCCACGAGGCCATCACAGATGAAGAGTAAGTCCCACGCCCTGCGCCCTGCCGGGTCATGGACAAAGCCCAGCCTAAGCGTCCCACTCCAGAGCTAGTCTACCTGCCTAGTCTGCCGGGGGTGTAGTACAGACAGATCATGCAGGAAAAGCCCTTGTACTACCAAGAGGTTTCTGTGATCATGAGAGAGAGAGAGAGAGAGAGACAGGTGAAGAGGGCATAGGCTCAAAGAACCACCTGCTGGGCTCTCAATAATCTATTGCAGATACTCTCAGGTAAAGCTGCCTGCTCACCCACAGAATCTCCCCGGGGAGCTAAGGCCAGGATTTGCCTTGGTGCCCAGGCTGCTGTCTTTACAGATGTTGGGTCTCAAGGGCTCCAGCAGTTGTTAGGTTCTGGAAATAATTCCAGGTGCCCACCACTCAGCTGGTGCATTTTGCCTGGTGTCCTGAGACCTTAGCTCTAATTGGAATCAGCAACACTAAAAATTGAAACTACCCCCAGACACTATCGAGATGCACAGAAACAAGTTTTGGCCCCCATGAGTTTAGGAGGATAACCAGTCTCCAGTCCTCCCAGCACTCTGTGGTACAGTCAGGTCACATCACCCTATCAAATACACATCAAGATGGCCTTGCTCAAGTACTTGTTCATGTGCACTGATTATTTGCCCACTCAAGCACATAATGAGATTAATGAGAGTTCTAATCATTGAAGAGAACTGAGGGGGGGCCTTAAAGATGGCTGAATCCAATTCTTCATTTTATCAAGACAGAGCTGAGTCTAAGAAATTCCAAGTTAAGCTGAAATCATTTACAGTGATCATTTTACTACTGAAAGTCTTTCCTGTAGATTCAACTAAAGCCAAAAGACAGTTGTCTTCTGAGTGCTCACAGCAGTGTAGAGACCCTGAACCACGATGAGGAGGTCTGCTTGGCCTGCCCAGCTGCACCTCTGGTTCTTCTGCTTCATCTCTGGCAAGCACTCTAGACCTGCCTATAGAGTGCTGAGGCAGCCAGTGGGCCTCATCACTAAAATCAGCAGCAAAACCACAGGCCCAAGGACACAGAACAAGCAGTGGTGTGTGTGTATGTGTTAAGATATTATTTATGTTGCTTGGACATGTACACACACACACACACACACACACACACACACATGAACACGTTCATATATATTGCTTAGTGGAATTTTCGAATACCATTTTGAAAACTTGTATTCGCATTTACAGCAGTGGGAAAGGAAAGAAAATATCGGTGTTTTTCAGTTTGACAGACAATGGTGTCTTGGGCATTTTAACAGCCACACCTTTGAAAACAGTAGGCCAAGCTAGAGTATATTCCCTCCTCCTAAGCACAGACTTGGCAAAGGTGCTGTGGTCTTTGAAAGAGTTCTTTAGAGCACAGGTAGAGATTTGCATGGATGCCATCACAACAGAATGCTTTCCTGAAGGCTTTTGGGGGCATTCACCTTCCCTATTCTGGAGACCAGAAGAATCATTTTCCCTTGTTTTCCTTGTTAAATCATGTCATGGCTAATGAGATGGTCGGTGGATGGAGGTGCTCATGCCTAGGCCTGAGAGCCTCAGTTCAGTCCCTGGATCCCACAGGCTGACAAGAGAGAACCAATTCCTGAGAGTTGTCCTCTGATCTGGACGTGCGTGCACACACACACACACACACACACACACACACACACACACACACACACACACACACACACACTGAGTACTAAAACGGTGTAACAGATCACCCAGGAGTGAGAGCAGGAGCATTTCTAACAGTGAAGCAGTGTTAGCCAGGACACTAAAAAGGAGGATCTAAGTCATCCCAGATCCCTCTCATTCATGTGCCCCCCTCTTACTCTGGTATTGCTCCTTCCAGACGTGCGCCCACAGCTACCTTCCATGACAGTAAGCACAACATTGTGCACGTGCATTTTGATGCAACCAGGGGATGGTTACTGACTTCTGGAACTGACAAAGTGATTAAGGTAAGATGCCCTCTTGTTAAGTTTCCTATTGTGGGCCTTGTATACAGACAGGAGGATCTGAGAGGCTGTCTGTGTGCGGGTTATCCGCGGAAGTGAGCATTGTCAAGAGCCCACGGCACTCATCACTCTGATTTGCAGCATAATTTCCTTAGGATATGATCTTTAAAAACCAATACTAGGAACCTATGGAGATTGTTCAGTTGATAAAGTGCTTGCAAGGACCTGAGCATTTAAAAAAAAAAATGTAGGCATGATGACAATGCTTTTAATCACAGAGCTGGGGAGGCGGAATCAGGTGTCTCCCAGAGGACTAGCCTAGCAGCCTAGCTTAGTCAACGAGCCATGGGTCTCAGTGAGAGATGCTATCTCAAAAGACAAGTTGGATGGCTCCTGAGGAACGGTGATTGAGGTTGTCCTATAATTTTCACACACACTAGACAATAAGTCGCATGTGCAAAAGTCACAAACGTAACATGAGTGACAATAACCAGGATTCCCAGAGGGAGGGGAGCTGCTTGGGAAGCTCTAGGAAGCAGGTGGTCTTGAACTGAATGTAGGTTGGAAGGCAGACCTGGAATCAGTCACCAAGTCATACAGAAGCTTTTTTCCTGTTGAGATGAATTACTCCAAGAGTGTTTATCCAAGACTCTGAAGCCACATGGATTCACGGCCATAGCAGAGGCCCAGGACAGAGGGCCAACTCTGTCATCCTGTCCTACTTTGGGGGCAGCAACAGGATGAAGTTGTTAGGAGTAACTTCAAGGTCTGAGGCCTTGGCCTTTCCCTTTTGATGTCTTAGAGAATTGTTTGGAAGGCTATCTGGGAAGTTTATGGAAAGATACCTGGGGTGTGCTAGCTCCTCTCCTTAGTGGATCTGATCTGCCTTTATGTTCCTTAGCTGGAGCGACATGTAGCTGCCCTCATGTAGAAGTCAGGCTAGTGCTGTATGCTGTGTGCTGTGTGCTGTGTGCTATATGCTGTGTGCTAACTGGGAAAAGACAAAGGCCCACTTTGAATTGAGGCCGTTCTAAGCATTGTTCATCCTCAGCACTGTTTGATCTTAATTCATCCTTGGCATTTTTCTCTTTTTTTTCAGTTGTGGGATATGACCCCAGTAGTGTCCTGATGTCTCTCCCAGGGACTTGAAGATAGTTTTCACTAAAGAGACACTTGTTTGAGCCCAAAATCATTACAGGAGAAGCAAAGTACACATATGAGCAGGAAGAGAGACTGAAGGAGCTCAAAGTGGATGTGTAGCCTCCTGTCCTATTGCAATGAACCAGTGGGAGAGCACTCCCATGACTCTTCAGTTGCCCTTACAACATAAAAGAAGATATTTTTTTATCAAATGGTTTATACAGCCTGGCTGTGCTGCATTGTCTTGAGTCTATTGGAAAATCTGTGTGGGATGTTTAAGCTTCTGTATTTCAGCCTCCATTGTTCTTGTTGCTTTCTGTGTCAGAAAAAAAAAAAAAAAAAAAAAAAAAAAAAACCCAAGAGAGAGAACTATCTGTTGAAGGTATTGTGTCGTGTAAGACATTTTCTTCACCTCAGCGTGTCCCAGAGAGAGCCTTTCTCTGCTCTTCCTTCACCGGCCACACTTGCCTCTCACCAGAGTGGACGGTTCCGGTTTATTCTGGTGTTCTGCTTTCGTGGCCAGACAGGAGTTGGAAAACCGTCTGATGCGGGCCTCTTGAGTCACCTCTGGGGAGCAGTGCTGTCAGAAGTGCCTGAGCTTCCGCTTCAGCATCGCCCCCTTAGGAAGGGCTTCTGGAAACTGCTGTCCACTGTCAGCCCTGGCACCGGTCAAGTGACTCAGCCTCACCCTGCAGTGCCTGTGTCTTTCTGAATTCAATGAGGGCTGCTTGAGCCTTTTGCATTTTGGACTTTGGGGATTTGGGTTTTTTGATTTGTTTTTTGTTTTTTGTAGCTTCCCTTTATTCATGACATGAAAGACAAACAGAAATGTCCACGCTCCAGAAGTAAGTGTCATGAAGGTGCATCTTTCTACACGGTGTTGCCTCTGAATGTGAACGTTTATTACTTTAAGATTAGAATCCTGCTCTCTTCACCATCCATATTTAGTTTCCCTTTTAAAACCAGGTATTTAAGCATCTTTATGATAATGTATACTTTCTGTGAAGCCAGCGTGTGATCTAAACAGAGGTACTAAGAAGCAAACAGTATTCTCCTAAGGAAATCAGTCCATCTTGCTAAGGTGCAGTAAGGACTCACTTTGGAATGTCAAGGTACATTAAAGTAGTAGCAAGCCTGTGCCTGGAAACTGGCCCATCCAAGCACATCACACATGCTCACCCGTCAGGAATACCAGTGAGGTTGCCAGGTGAAAGGCTCGTGGGTAAACAGGCTGACTGCTTGCTCTGACTCTCCACGTCACAGTGTCTTCTTCACTTCCGATTAACAGGTGTTTCCTGGCAGGAAGTACTTAAATGCAATTACAGTCCTGTTCTAGAAAGGCGGCTTCTCCATTGTCATTCTTGCTTCTCTTTCTGGAGGAGGCAGTAGTAACCATTCTTGGGTACCATCCTTAGCACTAACAACTCAGAGTGCTTCCTAGGACAAGGCGTCCAGAATCAATTCTGCTGACTGGCACTGGGAAGCAGGGCTGGTGTACACCTCCCAGAGCCATGTCCCTTGCAGCTATGATGTGAGAGCAGAACTCTGTACACACTGCAGGAAGTCATCGCCACTGTGGTTCAACCGTCTGTTCCATGAAGTGCCACCTAGGTTCAGTCAGGCCACCATCACTGGTTTGGGTCTTCTCTGCATGATCACTTCATCACAGAACTTTGCAAAGGGAATCAGAGCTAAAATACTCAAATATCGATGGAAGAGTTGATTGCTAGAGTCTACAGCCACTTGGCAAGTTGTAGAGAGCTGAATATTGGAAATCAGTAATGGAAGTGAGTCTCTTGGAACTGGAGCGTGACTGTATACGGAGAGGGAATACAGTATTCGGAAAGTGAGGCTAGGGCACCCAGCAAACCTGTGTGGATTTCCACTTATGTATAGATGAATTCAGACTCCTGGGAAATGGATTGCCTTCGTTAGAACACTTTTTACACTGTTGGATGGCCCTCCACACCTCTCTAGTCACCTCCAGCTACAGCCCATCCCAAAGAGTCCCCAGAGGTTGAAACTTCCCAGTGATGAAAATCATGGTTGTACACCCCAGATAACCAAGGTTTCCACAGCTCAGCCCTTTCCTCTTAGGCAGGTGGCTGCTGAATTTGTTGAGAAGAGTGTATCAGAACAACTATGTATGCACATAATAATGCACTGTGAATGCTTGTGTTTGCCTGGCGTTCTTAACCCATAAAGAAAGGCTTGCTGGTGCTGATAGATTTCCAAGCATTCTCTGAAAAAGAAGGTTTCATCCATCAGGCATGAGCGCTGGCTCAGCACTTGGCTTGTCTCTCCTCTGAGTCAAAAATCACAGATCTATTCACTTTGCTTTTTTTTTTTTTTTCCTCTCCCTCTCTGCTGTGGAAACCTCAGCTCTGGTGATGGTAGTGAGTACAGCCATGCTGGGAAGCCGGGAGACCATGTGTGCACGGAGTTTGTTCCTAGTTGGTGGATGAAAAACATCTCACTGCTAGTTTCTCCAAAGGAAAGCATTTAACAGAGCCACCTGGGTCTCCACATTAGCAAAAAAATGGTTTTAGAAATAACTACTTGGGATTTTGTGTCATTTTATAAAAGCCCAGTCAACATAATGTGTTTCTCGTTTAATTGTTTGAATTATTCATGAAATTATAACATTGAAAGGGAATCTTGAGATCTCCTAGGTTAGTCCTAGGATGTCCTAGGTTAGTCACACCAGGCAGTTAGATAGAGCCGAGGTGTAAACAAGAGAATCTCCAAGAACACTCAAGAGCAATGGCTTTTGATATTACCAATAGCATGGTGAGTAGGCACAAGGGGCAACCCCCTTGCCTGGGGCAGGAAGTCTCTGGAATCAGGTTTGATACTGTTTTGAGCAAATTTGACGTAACTTTCAGTGCCTGCCTGTGGTTCTGAGTGGTGCATGTTCTCCCAAAGGTGGGTAGTCCCATTTATCTGTATATCAACAAGCCCTGTATATCATGCCACACCTACCACCCCGGGGACAAAGTTGAATCACACATTCAGGGCCCTAGACTTCCCACTGCCCTGCTGCCTAAGGGCTGCTCCACTGAATCCAGGCTTACAACGTCCGTCCTTGTGAGACACCACCTTCTTAGCATCTCAGAGTCATATTTTAAAAGTATACTGTGTTTTTTGTTTAACATCAGTCCTTTAAAAGCTTGAATTTTAACTTTAAAGCAAAAGAATAGCTCTGAACTATGTGTCACAGCTAGTACACAGAAATATTCACTTAATGGGGCCTTTGGTTTTGCTTTTTCATAATATTTAATATATATATATGTATATATATGTATTTGTATATAAGTGAGCTTGTTCACTAAGATTTATATTTTAAAGCAAAAAAAAGCATTTTTCAAATGCTCCTATTTTTTTCCTTTAAAATAATGTTAGGTTAAATTTTTGCTGGTATAAAGGTAGATACTCAATACCTTGATGAAATGACACTTAAGTTCATCGGTTTGCCACTTTTTCAGGCCGTAAGGTCCTCCCAGGAATGCCCGTGTGCTCCTGTAAACTGTAGCTCAGCTTGACAACCAAGAACTACACAGCAGCTTTGCGGGGTTTGGATCACATTTTCACCTTTTGACCCTGGGTTCCCACCAGGAAGCCTCTAGGCTAACACAGAGAGCAGTGTGTGCTGTTGGACTTCCCAGGCCAGAGCCTGTTGTCAAAGGAGATCAGATCTCTGAGTGAGGCATGAATGCTACTGGAGTGCTTAGGGTCCCTTCTAGACTTGACTCTGACTCTGAGTGTTGCTTATCACGGGACTAACCCTGACTGTCACCAGGCACAGAGGCAGCCTCACTCAGGCACATGAAAACACTGTCCTAGGGCAGTTGCTTTCTGGCCTTTGCCACCCAGGACCTAGTCGGTGTGGTTTTAGAAAAAATGGTGAACTTCTATCTCATTTAAAAGATACCTCCAAGTGTTCACCTTTAGGGGTTGAGAGGATCTGACTAGGGAGACAAAGGATTTAGGAAATTCAGATTGGTTCAAAAGGTTTCAAATCTGATTTAAATATTTATTTATTTTTTTTCTTGGTTCTTTGGGATCCATGAGAGGGTGATTTTTTTTTTTAAAGGGAAATCGGTTTGAGCTCTTTGCTTCTGTGTACGTCTTATCAATTTGATGGGTATGCAGCCTTTTCATTCATAGCATATGCCAATGTGAAGTATGGACCAAAACACTCACATCACCATTGCCACTGTTCTGTGTGTGCTTGAGATTTATGCCATTTGCCTTGCATTTCAAGTGGTGTTTTCAAGGTGTTGTCATTTGGGGAGGGAAAAAGTCTTTCGTGACAATTGTAAAAGAAACTGTTACTAACTGAACAGCAGGGAAGGTACTAACCCCTCAGCCGGGCCTGCCCATTGCTACACCGTAACCAGGGCTTGGCTTCTTCCCACTGCACGCACGGCTGCCCCCTGGGGCCACATCTGGATGTGACTGCCATAGGTCTGTTACTTTATGGTTATCTTTTTTTTCCAGAAAAATCAGGAATTAGGTTAGGCAAGGGCTCAGCTAAGCATGATATAGAGCCTGGAGCTAGAGGCTAGACCAGGTCTCTCCATAGTGGTTCTAGCCAAACCCCTCTGGCAATTGCTGGGCTCTGTGCCACTGGATTCCACCAACCAGACCCACCACTCTTGATCCTGACCTCCTGAATGTGATGAGGTAGTCCTGAGTAAGACTGTTCTGTGACATTCAGATGACTGTATCCGGTGCAAATGCTGCTCGGCACTGTGAATGTTTCTCTCTCCTTATTTACCCTGTACTGCCCCCAGCCTCTCATGTATGTGCAGCCTATTCCGATGTACGGCTCTCAGAGCAGTGGCCTCTGTGGCTTAGAATAAATGGCCGAACACCTGCCTACCATCCTGGTCCCATCACTGTCAAATGTAACTATAAACCTAGCAACTGGTGATGGTTCTGACCCATCAAGGAGGGATGGGGAAGTTTCCAGATCACTCCACACCTGGCTATGTGTAGACCTCAAGAAGAGTTACCATCTTAGGTTAGCCATTGTTGGCCAGCCTGAGCTCAGCACGTGGGCTGCAGCTATGTGTTTCTCTTTAATGTAGGGTGCATTTTCTGTGCACAGTAGAGTTTCCAAGTAAAGACCAAGAACTTGAGGGGAAATAGAGTCAGGAACCTCACTGACCCTTGAGGTAAACAGAGTCAGGAACCTCATTGAAAACCCTTGAGGTAAATAGAGTTAGGAACCTCAACGAAAACTCTTGAGGTCCATTTTATGGAGAAGAAAATAGGTACTAAGAAATAAGGGACCCCTGTGAGGAAGAGCTAGGGAGGGGTGTGGCTGGGTGGCCTGAGTACTCCAAAGCTCCTGTCCCTGTCCTTCCTGACAGTGCCACCCAAGCCCAGCCCAGCAGGAAGCACAGGTTTCCTCCCATGGGAAGGCATGAGGCAGTAGACAGATGGTTTCAGCTGTGCCCCTTCTGCTAGTCTGGCACATACCTTCCAAGCAGGCTCATACAGAGAAGTCCCTTCCTCGGTGTTCCCTAGCAGTCGATCAGCATGGGAATGCCTCCAGCTGCATGGAGGAACATAGCTGAGTTTAGAGGCTCGTTCAGTTTACCTTGACTACCAAGAACATGTCCAAGCAGATTCCAAACACATTGGCTGATTTTGTACCAACTCTGAGTTACCAAGAGAAGCTGACATGCAGAGGTTTGGGTTGTTGTTATTTTTGTTTTTTTAAGTGTATCACCCAAAGGCCAGGTGGTCCTCAAAACTTTACAGCCAGGCCTTATGTAAATTGCCGTTGAAAGTGTAGATTGTCTTTCAGAGACATGCACAGCCAAACAGTATACAACCTTCTGTCCAGGCGCAGGAGCAGCTGTCCAGGAGTTAGCCTGTGGGCTTGGGAGTCCCCTCACACTCGGGGTTAGTGAGTCTTACACTTCAATATCTTAGAAAATCAAATAAACGAGAAACATGAAAGGCCCTGGTGCCTCAGTGCTTTGGTGGCACCCCTGGGAAAGGAGCCTCTTTTTCAGGCCTCTAGTTCACAGTGCTGGCGTTTCCTTGGTTGCTCTTGGTCCCATTGGTGTGGCCTGGCCTAGTTCAGTCCCATTTGAGAATTTCCATGAACTCCTCCTCCATCGGCCAGAACAAGGTAGGTTTAGGGACCAGCAGATCGCAGCCGGGGCCGGGTGGTATGACAGGACGTTTGGAGACAGTTCCATCGTCCTAGAACCCAGAGGGCACCAAAGAAAAGAGACTGGCTTGTGCCTGAGGCCATGTTCTCTTCAGCCCCATCTCCACCCTGCCGCAGTAGGAACACAAAACCTGAACAGTGAGAGCTTCTGAACAGGAACAAGGTCAGTTACTGCCCTTGAACTCCTGTTTTGGCCAGGTGCTGCTCCCACGGGACTTGGTAAGCTTCCCAGACATCCACCACCAAGGTAGGACCAGGGGCAGCTCACGTGTTCAGAGGACGCATCAAGTTCATCAAGATAAATGAGAAAGGGATTAAGGCTCAATCACTTCCAAACACTCAGCCAGAACAGCTGAAGGGGTTGCCTCACGAGGGCTTCTAGGTACAGTCAGGACAGGAGAAAGTCACATCACCAGGTGTCATGGTCAGGAGGGCACACCATTAAGGCCAAGTTGCTGTCTCAGCCATGCGTCACCTCCTTCATTACCAAGAAGGAAGACACAGTGAAGAAATCACCCTCTGGGGAGTGAGGTTCCTACAAGTGACGGGCTGTGGGCATGTCTGTCCCTCAGCCTGGCAGGGAACCCTGACATCTCACCTGGGAGGAGGAGGTGAGCTAGAGTGTGTGTCTGCAAAGGAAGGGGTTTTGTATGGTTTGACTTCTTAATGCCAAAAATACCAAATAAATAAAGTGGAACCATAAAGTGTTCTCTATTTCAAAACAGCACATATCTAAGCTGTTCAGAACTGATTCCAGAAAGCCTTTCTTTGAAGGACTTAAGTGTGGTTGAGTTGAAAATGCTGAATGTCAGGGCTGGGAGTGTGTTGGGTCCCCGTGTCCCCCAGGTTTCTGGGCACCTGTACCTGGATCAGCCCATGCCTGAAAGGTCGCCCCTCTTTCTGCAGCTGCCAGTGACTTGCCCATGCTCCCCAAGTAACTCCAATAAACTCATCAGCTTCCCACCCTAGGCTCCTACATTAACATCCCTCCCTAATGCCCTAGCCTCTCAGATCCAGCTGTGGACTTCGTGAACTGTTGGTATCTGCTTCTTTTTAGAAAGAACTCCCCCATCTCGCCTGTATCTCAGCATACCTAGCTCCGAAGCTAGAGGCAGCACCCACCTGGTGTCTGCCCTGCCTGTCCCTGTCCCAGTCCCACTGGTACCCTTAGCACTCCAGATGCACAAGGGGTCCCACAGCACTCTCTCTGCCAGCACTGTTCCCATCAGCCCCCAGAGCAGTGTCACCAAGTGGAAGGTATTGGGGAACAAATCAGATCCCTCAAGAAGCCAAGGAGCAGAAGAGAAACTGGGGGGGGGGGGGCAGGCCCCACAGAGGTCTCAGGATTTTAGGATTTTAGAGAAAGTTCATCTAATCCAAGACAGGCCTTATTTTCTACATTACAGGTAAAAGAAAAACATTTGTTATGGAAAACTTAAGCTGTATTGAGCTTTTAAAAAGAAATCTGAAACTTTCTACTGGGCTTCTCAGACTACAGGTGACCACTACTGGGGTCCACTCGGTCCTCTAGAACCCCTGGACAGACAGGCACCAACAGTGATCTGTACTTCCTCTCACACAGGGACAACACATGGCCACATGCACGACTCAGCTGTCAGATCCAGCAGTGGCCTTCATAGATACAGAATGTGTAGACATGAGTTACTGTTGGCATTTTCAGGGTGGTAAACTTGCAGTTGAGGAAGTGGGGGTCCGGCAGAGGAGGAACCGAGTGTTTTACACAAAGAGAAGAATTGAGAAACTCAGAGTCCCAACCCCTTCACCTAGTTTCAGCGTCGTGTGACTTTCCCTAGAAAATCCACTTCTATTCACCCCATATAAAGAAGGTAATGGCACACCAGAGAAACGACCCCTCCAAACCCAGTGAACCAGTGAGTTTGTGGGTATTACTTACAGGAGCATGAGAACTTATTGGCAGTTACACAGAGGTGCTCCCCAACCCCAATAACTGTTGACTCATGTATCTTGGAGGCTGGGGGAAGCTCAGAACCCCTTCCTCCCCATAAGGTGATGTTAATGGAACCATCTTAGGAGAGTCTGGAAGTAATCACACCTGCTCTAATTTCATTTCATGCCCAGAGGACAGAGCCCCACACCTAGTCTCCCTGATAGCCAAGAACGCCTTTCTTGTGCACACGATAGGAAGCTGTCAATATCCTAGACTGGCAAACCCCTAAGCTAGTTGTGGAACCATTTTCTCCCAATTGACACCCTTCCTGAAAGGAGGAGAAAGTCATATAAGTCCCCAGAGTCACAAGACCTGGCCCCAAGGTTATCAAGGCAGCTGGAGAGAGAAGATTCCTGCCTGCCAGCCGAGCTGCTTGCAAGGCATGCAGGAGCTCCAGGACAGTTACTGTGCCTTTTGTCTTCACCCAGGCTAGGGTGGGCTTTTTGGTCATGCCTCTGTGTTTGAGTCACCCACGCCGCCATGAATAATTCCATAGACACATTTCTTTGGGCCGCTGGTGCCCCATCTGAGTGAACGGATGTCCCTCCCCAGGAAAAGCCACAACACCGCGTCTCTGGGATGCGGCCAGCACCAATGCCTACTTTCTCCTAGAGGAATGTGGTTGGAGCAGAAAGGAGATCCTAGGACCTGTGTGTACTGTTTAGAACCTGTTTGTTATGGGCCTGGCAGCTCTCATCTGTATAACCCCAGGACTCAGAGAAGTCTGCTGCAGAAGGCCCATAGATCTGTGGCCAGCCTAGCTACCTATTGACCCCCACCTCAAAAAGTAAAATGGTCTCAGGTGTCTTCACTTGATGGTATGGTGCAGACAGTTTTGTTTTGCCATGCACGTTTATCAGTGGAAGGAGAGTGCGGCAAACAGATGTCTTCTGTGCTGGTGCTCTGTGATTAATAATCCCATCTCCATTTACCAGTACTGTGATAAACAGCGTTATTTTCCATGTCTCCATCCCCTGGGATGAATCCTGGAGTGTCTGTACAGGCGCTAAATCTGCTAACACACATTGACGGACAAGGCACCTGTAGTGTGTTTGAGAGAGCCTGGCTCTCCAGAGCTGCAGCAAGAGCATCTCGGAGGGCATAGCCTCTTGTGCCTCAGTTCCCTCATTTGCCAACAGTGTGATGACAAACAGTGTCTGGATGTCTGGTATGGTCACGTGCCTGCCGATGGTTTGCGTTTCCCACTTTGGGGAGGTGCAGAGAGCCTCCACGAGCTGCCTGGGGTCACAGTTATATGAGGTCATAGCTGGTGGCAGATCCAGAAGAAAGCTATGCTGTCCTTCACTTCTGCTTCACCAGCCTTCCAGGTGCTTCCAGATAATTCCAGTGCTCTCATTTCCTCTGTGCACCCATAATTTCCCAAGTTCTGGGTGGTGCTGAGGTGACCCAGATGACTTGGACCTGCCCGCCATCATCTCAGGCTGTGTGCAATCCTTCTACCCTAAAAATAACCATGCTCACCAGGACACAGAGACACCCCGTGTGCCTGCTCTTGGCTGTGCACAAGGCAGACTTGAAAGCAAAGCTCTGCTTTTGAGGATGAGGTTCTCCCTTCCGGGTCCAGGCCCCTACTCCATGGGGAGGAAACAGCTCATCAGTCCTGATTCCGCTGGTTTTAGGTGATCCCAGGGAGAGTCAAGCCTGTGGCTGTGCAGATATTTTAAAATGAAACCTAAGTGGCTCATCCATGAAAGGCTACAGCATCCG